ACCTAAAAACTCCTCAGGAAAGAAGCACACCACAAAAAGAAAACCACTCCCCAGATTGCAACGACAGCAACTTGGAAGAACTTCTGAGCCTTCCAGAAAGAGAATTTAAAATTGCCATGATTAAAAAAGTGATAGATCAGAAGAAGGAAATTGAGTCCCTAAAGAGGGAAGTAAGAGAAATGCAGGAGATCAAAGAATTAATGGAGGAACTAAAGAACTCTGGGAAAAGCAATGAAAGCAGAATAGATGAAATGGAAGAACAAATAAGTAATCTTGAAGACACAGAAATAAAAAGAACCAAAACAGAAAAGGAAAGAGAAGTACGAAGGAAAAAGAATGAAGAAAGACTTCGGGAACTATCTGACTCCATGAGGAAAGGAAATATAAGAGTTATAGGAATTCCAGAAGGAGAGGAGAGAGATGTAGGAACAGAGAAAATATTCATGGATATAATTGAAGAGAACTTCCCAAATGTGAAGAAGGAGCTGAAAATTGATATACAAGAAGCAAGAAGAACACCAAACTTCCACGACGAAAGGAAAAACACAGCAAGACACATAATAGTAAAGCTCCCAAGAATCCAGGACAAGGAAAAAATAATGAAGCTGACAAGAGGGAAGAAACAGATAACATTCAAAGGAAAACCAATCAGGCTGACATCAGACTTCTCTGAAGAAACACTACGGGCAAGGAGAGAGTGGAGGGACATAGTCAACAGACTCCAAGAAAACAGATGCCAACCAAGAATACTCTATCCCGCAAAGCTCTCTTTCCTCCATGAAGAAAGAATATGGACCTTCCCAGACAAAGAGAAACTCCGGAATTTCATTGCGACTAAACCCCCACTCCAAAAAATACTACAAGGAATCCTAAAGCCAGAACCTCAGAGGGACGAATAACAACGAAAGAAGACCAAAAAAAAAAAAAAAAAGTTATTAAAAGAATAAATAAATAAAATCAAAGGAAAGACAAACATAATGGCAAATACAGATGCTAACATATCAATATTAACTCTAAATGTAAATGGACTAAACTCTTCAATAAAAAGACACAGAGTTGCAGCCTGGATTAAGAAACAAAACCCAACCTTTTGCTGTCTCCAGGAAACACATTTAGCTACAAAAGATAAAAATAGGCTCAAAGTCAAAGGATGGAAAACAATCCTACAAGCAAATGGGCCAAAAAAGAAAGCAGGAACAGCTATACTTATATCAGATAAAACAGACTTCAAACTCAAAAAAATAAAAAGAGACCCCAATGGTCACTACATTATGATTAAGGGGACAATACTTCAAGAAGAAATAACACTCATTAACATATACTCACCAAACAAAAGAGCACCAAAATATATCAGACAACTGTTGTCCTCTCTGAAAACAGACATCAGAGAAAACACATATGTAGTGGGAGACTTCAACACACCACTATCAACAATGGATAGATCAACAAGACAAAGAATAAGTAAAGAAACTAAAGCTCTAAATAAGGACCTAGAGCATTTGGGCTTAACAGACATCTATAGAACACTAAACCCAAAAAAAACGGAGTACACATTTTTCTCAAGCGCACACGGATCATTCTCCAGGATCGATCACATACTGGGGCACAAGACAAACATCAACAGATACACCAAGATTGAAATCATACCAACCATCTTTTCTGACCACGAAGGCATCAAACTAGAAATAAATCATAAAAAGAAGGCAAGGAACTATCCTACCTCATGGAGATTAAAAGCCACACTACTGGAAGACCACTGGACTAACGAGGAGATCAAAGAAGAAATTAAAAAATTCTTTGAATTGAATGACAAGGAGGACACCAATATCCTAAATGTATGGGATGCAGCAAAAGCAGTAATAAGAGGAAAATATATAGCAATAGAAGCTCACATCAAAAAACAAGAAAGAACTCAAAGAAACAACCTAATCTCGAAGCTCAAAGATCTAGAAAAAGAACAACAAAAAAACCCCAGAACCAGTAGAAGAAAAGAAATAATAAAAACCAAAGCAGAAATAAATGAAATTGAAACTAAAAAAACAATCCAAAAGATCAATGAAACCAAGAGCTGGTTCTTTGAAAAAATAAATAAAATAGACAAACCCCTAGCCAGGCTCACAAAGGAAAAAAGGGAGAAAGCACAAATACACAGAATCATAAATGAAAGAGGAGAAATCACAACGGACACAGCAGAAATCAAAAGAATAATCAGTAACTACTATGAACAGTTATATGGAAACAAGTTCAACAATCTAGAGGAGATGGACAAATTCCTACAACTCTACAATCACCCAAAGCTAGATAAAGAAGAAATAGAACACCTAAACAGACCAATTACAAGCAGCGAAATTGAAATGGTAATTAAAAACCTCCCCAAAAACAAAAGCCCAGGACCTGATGGATTTACAAATGAATTCTACCAAACATTCAGAGAGGAATTAGTGCCTATCCTTCACAAACTCTTCCAAAAAATTGAGAAGGAAGGGACAATACCAAACACGTTCTATGAAGCCAATATTACACTAATACCAAAACCGAATAAGGACAACACAAAAAAGGAAAACTATAGGCCAATCTCCCTAATGAACACTGATGCAAAAATCCTCAATAAAATTTTAGCTATCAGAATCCAACAATGTATCCATAAGATAATTCACCACAACCAAGTTGGATTCATTCCAGGGGCACAAGGATGGTTTAACATCCGAAAATCAATCAACGTTATCCAACACATCAACAAAAAGAAATATAAAAACCATATGATAATATCAATAGATGCTGAGAAAGCTTTCGACAAAGTGCAACACCCATTCATGATAAAAGCCCTTGAAATTCTGGGGATACAAGGAACATACCTCAACATCATAAAGGCCATCTATGACAAGCCAACAGCCAGTATCATTCTCAATGGTGAAAAGCTGAAAGCAATTCCATTAAGATCTGGAACAAGACAAGGATGTCCACTCTCACCACTGCTTTTCAATATAATACTGGAAGTCCTAGCCAGAGCAATAAGACAAGAGAAAGACATCCAAGGAATCCAAATAGGAAAAGAAGAAGTCAAACTATCACTATTTGCAGATGATATGATAATATACATAGAGAACCCCAAAATCTCCACAGAAAAACTAATTCAACTCATCAATCAATTCAGTAAAGTGGCAGGATACAAAATCAACACGCAAAAGTCAGTAGCCTTCCTATACACAAACAATAAATCTGAAGAAGAAGAAATCAAAAAAACCACCCTTTTATTATCGAAACAAAAAAAATCAAATATTTGGGAATAAATCTAACAAAAGAGGTAAAGGACCTATACAAAGAAAACTATAAAACACTGTTAAAAGAAATAGAAGAAGACACAAAGAAATGGAAAGACATCCCCTGCTCATGGATTGGAAGAATAAACATTATTAAAATGGCCATCCTACCAAAAGCAATATACAGATTCAATGCTATTCCAATCAAAATCTCAATGTCATTCTTCAAAGAAATAGAACAATTATTGATGAAATTCATATGGAATCACCAAAAACCCCGAATAGCCAAAGCTCTACTGAAAAAAAAAGAAGGAAATGGAGGCATCACACTCCCAGACTTCAAACTATACTACAAAGCCATAATCATCAAAACTGCATGGTATTGGAACAAGAACAGACATACAGACCAATGGAATCGAATAGAAAATCCAGAAATAAACCCACAGATTTATGATCAACTAATCTTTGACAAAGGAGCAAAGACTATGCATTGGAGCAAAGAAAGTTTGTTCAATAAATGGTGCTGGGAAAACTGGGTCGCTACATGCAAAAGAATGAAGCTTGACCACTACCTCACACCATACACAAAAATCAACTCAAAATGGATTAAAGAACTAGACATAAGACCTGAAACCATAAAATACATAGAAGGAAATATAGGCGAAACACTACGGGATTTGCACATCAAAGACATCTTTACAGACACATCACCCAAAGCAGTGATAGTGAAGAGAAAGATAAACAGCTGGGACTACATCAAATTAAAGAGCTTCTGCACAGCAAAAGAGACAATAACAAAAACAAAGAGAAACCCCACCAACTGGGAGAACATTTTTGCACCCAACACTAATGATAAAGGACTGATCACAAAAATCTGCAAAGAGCTGATGAGACTCAACAACAACAAAGAAAATAATCCAGTCAAAAAATGGGCAGAAGAGCTAAAAAGAAACTTCTCTGAAGAGGAAATGCAAATGGCCAACAGACATATGAAAAAATGTTCAACATCACTTGTAATCAGGGAAATGCAAATCAAAACTACCATGAGATACCATCTCACACCAGTGAGAATGGCACATATTAAAAAAACTAGCAACAACAAATGTTGGCGAGGATGTGGAGAAAAAGGAACTCTTGTGCACTGTTGGTGGGAGTGCAAACTGGTCCAACCACTATGGAGAGCTGTGTGGAGATTTCTGGACCTACTAAACATAGAGCTTCCATATGATCCAGCAATTCCACTCCTAGGTATTTACCCAAAGGACACAGAAACATCAATTCCAAAGAGCACCTGCACTCCTATGTTTATAGCAGCACTGTTTACAATAGCTAAGCTTTGGAAACAACCCAAATGCCCAAAAATAGATGACTGGATCAAGAAGATGTGGTACATATATACCATGGAATATTACTCAGCATTCAAAAAAGATAAACACATGCAATTTGCAGCAACATGGATGGCACTGGAAGGGATCATGCTCAGCGAAATAAGCCAAAAAGAAAAAGAAAAATACCGGATGGTCTCACTCATAGCAGGAATCTAGAAAACTTAAATAAGGGACCAGGAAAATGAATATAAGAAAGTGAAAATCAAAATCAACAAAAAACTATGAACCAGAGACACTTTTTGGTGGGTGGGGGGCGGGAGGGAAGGATTGGGGTCAGAATGGGGCGTTTGCAATTGTATGGGGGAATATAAAAATAAAATTTAATATTTAAAAAAAAAAAAAAAGAATAAAGGTTTCATAAAAGCAGGAACATTGTCTGGCTTCTCCTCACTGGAGTATATTCAGCACATATGAGTGGATCAGTATTTTTAAATCAAATTAATGCATCGAAAACAAATGGAAATAACCTCCCTTTGGATCCTGGTCTCTTACTAAAGATTTAGGAAGGAAGGAGAAAGTTTCAGTGACTGAAGAGAATATTTAGTCCAGAGGAATCTGTGGGATTTCCATTAGGAACATAGTGACAGAGTAACTTAAAATTGCTTTTATTAAAGTAGATTTAAGACAGCAACTGTATTATATATATCATTATTATTTATATTACATACATGCTATATGTGAAGTAGAACAATAATATGAGTATACTATGTACCCATCTTAAGAAATTTACAGATTAAAAATAAAAGATATTTACAGATAATCTTCGGTAATAGAAATTTATTGCAAAGGTTCAAAGTCACAAGAGATAGCACGGAACACCATTTCCTCCCTAGCCAGATTATTACTTGGAGTCCCAAAAGGTCAGACCCAACTGTCAAGAGGCCTCATGAGGAAATGGAAAATAGCTTAATGTTTTAATTATCTGTGTTCTTTTTTTGAGCTGCCATATCCTCACCCCAGGAAGGTGTGATCAAGACAAAAGTCACCACAGTTGCAAACCCTGAGAAGCAGGCTCGGAAAAGCAAGAGAACAGATTCAGACCCTGAGTGGACTGTCGGGGAATCAGCTTGACGCCAAGAGTTGGAAAAGGACTGGCAGACTGAATGGAGGTTCACTTCTTGAGGCAGGAGGTCCTGAGAAGGGAGGCTGGTTAATGTAGCCTGAGCAGGTTTGGTGTTGACTTTCTTCAATCATTTTTTACAGCTCTATTGACTGCTGGGCCCTTTAAGAGGGACTGTGGATGCTTGTGCTTGGAAGCAAAGAGGTAGAGATGGGGTGGGGGTGGGGGGTGCATAGCATGACAGCTGGCTGGCCTCTGCCAGCTTCCCCAGAGTATGCTTCTGAGAGGGGTTCTCTAGAGTATAGGGTGTTCTCAGGCCTGGGCTATTCTCAGAGACTTCTGATTCAGCCCTCCATGTACACAGAAATAGCCTTCCAAGAGAAGGGAGGGGACACAGCAGGACACAAACCCCTTTCCTCTGGGAGAGAGCTGGGCTTTGTCATCAAGGCTGCTCTCCCTGCCAAACAGGAAGCTTATACTTGCCATGGGCTATACTGGCTTGCTCTGAGCCCACACTTCCTGGTGTTGGGGCTTCTGGCGCTGTCACTGACCCTGGCCTGCATGGGCTGCAGCAGTGGTGAACAGCTCTTACAAGGTCAGGCCCACCTCAGTGGCCTGCCCTGTAGCCCAATTATGGGCTAGCCCCCTAAGGATGGCAGAGTGGGTGAGGAGGCAATGAAGAGGCACCTCAGCAGAGCTCACACACACTGAGTGTTGACCTTGTGCCCACTTCTCAACCTTATCATCTCAATCTCATGACCCCAGGAGACACATATACTTTCATTTTCCCCATTCAAGAGGTGAGAAAGCAGCTGTCAGAGGTTAAGTGATAGATCTGGAGTTCAACATGAAGTCACTCTGCACTGTCGACACATCAGAGCATCCCAGGGTTACAACCCCTGATGCCTAACAAAAGCAATCAGGTACCTGAGGTACTAATTTTGAGTTCACTTATGACTATCTGCCTCATAAGTCTCAAAGAGGGAAAGTTCTTTATAGAACTTTATAGAAGGAGAGACAGCATTAGAAAATCAGCATTATGCCATCCCTGATGAAATCAAAGCTGGGTAGATATTAAGTGAAAGGCTATTGGGTGTTTGAAAAAATATCAAATCAGATCTTCCCCCTGTGATGAAAAACAAGTACCTACCACCTCCTATGATGTCAAAAACAAACAAACAAACAAACAAAAACAACAGAACAAAAACCAGAGTCTGAGTAAGCCTCTAGACCTACTAGTTAATGAGAAAATGAGTAATAGTGGGACATGACATGACACCAGAGGGGTACAACTAGGAGAGTCAACTAGAATGTTAGCCATGCTAGGGTAGATCACCTCGTTTCTGTTTTTTGTTTTTGTTTTTAAATGGCAAAGGAAAAAAAGAAGGAACTATTAAGCGTGTTTAGAGATTTAAGGGACATTGGCAAAATGTAGTATGTGAACCTTGCTTGGATCCTGATTCAGATAAATCAACAGAAGACATTTTGTGATAAATGAAGGAAACGGAACATCAACTGGGCTCAGGAAACAACACTTCAAAATATCACATCTTGGCATATTAAATATTTTAAACTAAAGGGATTTCAAGAAATGGTAGGTGTTAGGACTCTGAGCTTCCCCCATGAAGCGGTTGTGAGACCTTCACAAGGTGCTCTCCATGTAGCTAGAGAAAAGAATATCTCTGAAGACAGAGGGACACTAAAGATTTAATGAAAAGCCCTTGCTAAATTTCCTCTATTTTACTACCCTTGGCACATAACGGTCTGTCCTGTCACATTTCTATGACTTTCCACTGTTCATCAAAGTGAGTATAAAGACATTCAGGTTTGGTGCTGACAAACTCTCCATCTCACCTGCCGCTCTTCTCTGCAGTATATTCAATAAATCTACCTTTCCTGTTCTCCACTCTGTCTCTGATGAATTCTTTCATCCCTTCATTCCCCCCAAAACTAAACATCTCCACTTGGGTTTAACTATTTCTTTGGATCTCCATTTCATTATGAAGGTTTCCATGTCAATTAAACTTATATTAAATAACTGTATGCTTTTCTTTAGTTCATATGTCTTTCGTTATAAAGCCCCAGTTAAGAACCTTAAAATGGGCCTCCCTGGTGGCTCAAAAGGTTGAGACGCAACCTATGAGGCTGTCCACAGCCTCTGCAGCACGAGTTTGATCCCTGGCCAGGGAGGTGACCCACATGGCGCAGCAGACCTCTCCTGACTCGCCCGCTGCACCCCTCTGCAATCTGCCTGTTCTGTTCCCCACCCTGTCTCTGGTGAATCCTCTCACCCCCCGTACCTCTGGCCTGTACCCCAGCTCTTGTATGCATAAATAAATATTTAATTTAAAAAAACCTTAAAAAAGTAAATAGAAAAAGGTATTTTTCCTTTCCCATATCGTCTATTAGATGACAGTGGATGATAATTAGGAATCACTATTGATTTTGTTGGCAATCATGATATGGTTGTTATATATATTTTAAAATCCTTACTTTTTCTGGAACACCACTGAAACACTTATTACCTGAAAATTCCTATTCCTCCACAATAGTCTTTCACAGAAAGGCAAGCTTTATTTTAAAGCAACCTGAAAGAACAGTCAGGGCACCTACAACTATAAACCAGTAGAGGGAGCACATGTTAGAGGTCGACCTGGCAGGGGCTCAGCCTGGTGTGTTGCCAATGCTTGCTGATAGACTAACACCTGATCAGTTTCTTTTCAGGTTGAAACTAATAAGCTTGGGGGCCTCCACGGTGGTGCAAGGGGTTAAGTCAGAGCATTATGAAGCTATCTGCAGCCACTGTAGCATGGCACAAGCAGGGAGCTGACCCACATGGCACAGCAGACCTCTCCTGTCTCACCCGCTGCTCCCCTCAGCAGTGTATTTCAGTCAATCCACCTGTTCTGTTCCCCACTCTGTCTCTGGTGAATCCTCTCACCCCCTGCACCTCTGGCCTGTACCCCAGCTCTTGTATGCATAAATAAATCTTAAAAAAAAAAAAAGAAACTAAAAAGCTTAAAGATGTCCATGATGTGTTTGATATCCAATACGCCTATATCAGGAAACAGGACAACCAGAGTCAACTTATCGAGGGACTCAGCTTAATTTCAAAATAAATTTACATTGAGAATTGTTCCTTTAGTAGCTTTCTTCACATTTTCACATTTTTAAAAGTCACAGAGGTTTTATTTGTGTTTTAAGCAGTTGCTTGGTTAAAGATCCTACCTCCATTTCATAGGAAATGGATTACTTTGAATTACTCCTCGTACTTGTCAACTGGAAGATTATTCCACTGTTTTTGTAGCACTGGTTGGGCTGGCATCTGCGATGGTAGCCAAATAAATGAGATTTCTATGTAACACATGCTGGTACCTACAAGTGAAAAATAGGCAAAAATTAGAGGACTATTTTTACCAAACATGATGGAAAAAGCTGAGAATTTATCCATTCCAGTGGAATGATTCACTCACTGATTGGGTGACTCAGTGTTATCAATCAACCTTCTTGTTTAACACATAAAAGGTAAATATATCCAGAATCTTACCTGTTCTCAGTGATTACTTCCATAGCTACCTCTCAAGGTCAAACCACCATCACTTCTTGCTTAGGCTATTTTATTGGACCAGTCTAACTGGTCCCCCTGTTCTACCTCTGCACCCCTATTCTATTCTCCACAGCAGCATGAGTGATCATTATACAATTAAATCAAGACCATTTCATACATCTATTTAAAATCCTCCAAAGGCTTCCATCTTATTTGGAATAAAGCTGAGCCCTTCTCATGGCCTATAAGGTCTAAGTGACTAGGGCCTCTAATTACTTTCCTGATCTCATCTCCCAAGACCTTCTTTTTGCTCAGAGTTCTGGCCACAATGGCTTCTTTGCTGTGTCTTAAAGATATCTAGCATACTCTTTCCTGGGGTCTTTTGTACTTAATGCTCTTTGCCTCATCTACCTGCAGAGCTGGCTCCCTTACCTCAGGTGTCTACTCAGATGTCACATTAGAGATACCTTGTATAACACGGCACCCCATCCACACACTTCAATTGTTTGAAAAATGTATCATGATGCTGTAACATTGATCTGATGCATATAAGGGACACATGGGCTAGCCCACCATCCCACCCCTCACAGAACATTCTTATCAGATCTGAGATTATTTTTATTTTAAGTAATAGAAAACCAAGTGAAAACTGGACTAGACAATAAAAGGAATTTTTTTTAACTTTGATCAAATTTTATTGATTAACCATTTGTTTACAAAACAGTGTAATTTCATGGCCAACAGGCATATGAAAAAATGTTCAACATCACTTGTAATCAGGGAAATGCAAATCAAAACTACCATGAGATACCATCTTACACCAGTGAGAATGGCACATATTAAAAAAACTAGCAACAACAAATGTTGGCGAGGGTGTGGAGAAAAAGGAACTCTTCTGCACTGTTGGTGGGAGTGCAAACTGGTCCAACCACTATGGAGAGCTGTGTGGAGATTTCTGGACCTACTAAACATAGAGCTTCCATATGATCCAGCAATTCCACTCCTAGGTATTTACCCAAAGGACACAGAAACATCAATTCCAAAGAACACCTGCACCACTATGTTTATAGCAGCACTGTCTACAATAGCTAAGCTTTGGAAACAGCCCAAATGCCCAAAAATAGATGACTGGATCAAGAAGATGTGGTACATATATACCATGGAATATTACTCAGCATTCAAAAAAGATAAACACATGCAATTTGCAGCAACATGGATGGCGCTGGAAGGGATCATGTTCAGCGAAATAAGCCAAAAAGAAAAAGAAAAATACCGGATGGTCTCACTCATAGCAGGAATCTAGAAAACTTAAATAAGGGACCAGGAAAATGAATAACTATAAGAAAGTGAAAATCAAAATCAACAAAAATCTATGAACCAGAGACACTTTTTGGCGGGTGGGGGGCGGGATGGGAGGGATTAGGGTCAGAATGGGGGGGTTGCAATTGTATGGGGAATATAAAAATAAAATTTATTATTTAAAAAAAATAAAAGTTAAAAGTCAGGCTTAAAAAAAATAAATTAAAAAAAAAAAAAACAGTGTAATTTCAGAGGCACAGCTTCACACCTCAACACGTGCACATGCTCCATTCACCATCCACTGAAGCTCCAGTGCCACTACCCCATCACATTACCCCACTAGCCCCTCCTCACCCCGCTCAGGTAATGCCGTATTTTTCAATCTAAGAGTAACTTTTGTTGTATTTTGTCAGTTTGCTTTGGTTATCTGTATTCCACAAACGATTAAATCATCCAGTAGAGGGGTCCTCCCTGGTGGCCCAAGGATTAAGACGCAACCTATGAAGCTATCCGCAGCCACTGCAGCACGAGTTCGATTCCCGGCCAGCCAGGGAGCAACCCACATGGCACAGCAGACCTCTCCTGACTCGCCCACTGTTCCCCTCAGCAGTGTACTTTGGTCAATCTGCCTGTTCCGTTCCCCACTCTGTCTCTGGTGAATCCTCTCACCCCCCTCACCTCTGGCCTATACCCCAGCTCTTGTATGCATAAATAAATAAATCTTAAAAGAAAAATAAATCATCCAGTAGGTACCTTTCATTTTCTGACTTATTTCACTTAGCACATTCACATGAATGTCCACCCATATTGCCCACCCATATTTCCTTCCTGTAGATTTTACAGTTCCATGAGAGCAGAGCTGGGATCTATCTTGGTGCTGATTCTCCAGTAACTGAAACTGCCTGGTACTCAGTAATACTTATTAAAATACCTATTGAACAAGTGTAAATAAGGGATGAAACACTCTCTTGATCAATGTGAGCTTACTACACTAGCAATTCTTAGTCAGGGATAGAGTTTCCCATGACGAGGACAATCAGACTATGGGTGAGGAAGCATGGCTGGTGCAATCTGAAAAAGCCCACTAGATTTTGACATGTTTCCTACCCATAGGTTGAGACACACTGCACCAAATGGAATATTTTGCAACTAGTTTCTTTACAGAAGTATGAGAAAGTATTTACTATAAACTAGAAAAGCAGATTACCAAATGTCAGAGTCAAAATGTAAAGATTTTGCCAAAGACCAATCACATTATTTCACTGAGTTGTTCAGTGAAAGATTATAGGCGATTTTTTTTAGGGGTGGAGAAAGCATAGCTTTCTTAAACATGTTTTCAGTGACAATGAGACACATTATCCTATAATAGATGGGGCACAAGTCCTAGACTGCATTTAGATAAGAGACTGATTCTTTTTTCTCTAATTTTGGCATATGGTTAGAGAGCACATTAATTTACTGTCCAAATTTTACCTTTGGCTCAACTTGGAAATATTTGATTGATCTTTGTGTGTATTACTGGCAATCTGAAAGTTAGAAATAGGAGGGGGGAACCTAGCAATCAAATTTAACAGAAAAAGCATGAGCCCTTGCTAAAAAAAAAAAAAAAAAAAGGATGGGGTAGGGACCCACGATGAGAAAGCAGCCACTGTTCTCTCATGGCCTGAAACTAGTTTGGCATGTGGTCCCCACTCATCCTTGTTGTCACAGATGACATGGCTTCTTGTGACAGAGGCTTTGCAATGAGCATCCTTCAAGTTTTGAAGAAGCTTCACAATGTACTAATGGTGTTGGACAGGTAAGTAACCTCTCAGTCTCATCTGGGATCAATCCATGACTCCAAATTCGGGGTATCACCACACTTGCTCTTCTCAAATCAAGAGTCAGGGGAGGGGACTTACTGGACACACTCGTTTGCCCGGCCCTTGTTCTGATACTCCACGATACAGCGGATCAGCTGGTCATTCTCCTCCAGGAGCTGTGAGATCAGACAAAGCATCAATGCCGAGCAACATCGCGATGGCTGGAAACACTTACTCCCTACCCACCTCCTCTCCCAGCCAGCCAGCCAGCCAGGCCGCACTGGTTTTGCAGACTGAATTCCCTGTCACCCTGCGCGACGCTTGCGGCTCAGCATCTACAGACACCACAAGTCTCAGCCGGGTAGCCGCTCGCTCAGGAAGTTTCTTGCACTCTGGGGGAATCTCCGCTAAGGAACCCCTCTTTTCGGCCCGGGTTAGCGCTCACCCGCTGGATAGTCTCCTGATTAACCTCCGCCCTGCCTCTCATCCAGTTGGGTACGAAGGCCACCGACATCCTGCGTAGCCAGGTGGGAACCTGGACTCAGGCCCCGGGACCCCGCGCAGGTAGACCCGAGCCAATCTGCAGCTGCAGACGCACTACTGCCGCAGCGGGGTCCACGTTCGACGTTGATTGGGTCTTCCGGCCTAGAGGGCGGGGAACGGGGGGAACGTCATTTGCGATTGGGCGCGCAAGAGCGATGTTTCGCCTGGAACCCCGCCCGTAGAGCGCCGAGCTGATGCTCCACCCTTGGCATCTGCGCAGACTGGAGCGCTCACCTCCGGGGCGGGGCCTGCACCAGCTGGTCCATTTCCAGGCTCAGAGCGCGCTCTATCTGCGGGAGGCTTTGTCCCGGGCCGCAGGGGAGTCAGGACTGGAGCCCAGGTTACTGGCTCTAAGTCCACTCCTGTCCCGCCATCATTCTGGTGTCTGTCTGGAGTATGAACCCAGGCCGCAGCTTCCTGCCGAACCAAATCCTGCAGGGTGGAGGAAAACACTGATGTCAGCTTTACTCTGCCGAGGGAGAAACTCACATAAAATGCCCATTTTTCCTTTGGGCAATAATAATGCTTGCTAGGTTACAACTCAAAAAGGCACTATTATTTTCTGCATCTCACACATGAGAAAACAGATTAAGTAACCTGCCCAGGATCCGAGTACAGATAGATCGTCTGGCTTTACAACCTTCACTCATAACTGCTACTCCATACTGTCATGCACCACAATGCAGACGTGGTTTGCTGCCAGGTACAGGGAGGAAGCTGGGCCTAGAGGCTTCCAGAAGCTGGATTACTGCTGGCAACTGCTGGAACCACTAAACGCTGAAGTGCATGTCTTCTTTCTTGTTCAGCCCATGCAGGGCAGCTGAGGCGACAAACCCGGCTTTCCCTGCAGCACAGAGTGCTTAGTCTGCACTTTATTTAGGAGGGATATCTTGGAGGCCTTTACTCCTTAAAAGGGTCCTGGGGATAAAATTCTTCTACCTAAAGCTTTGTGACCCCGATCCAGAATAGGTTCGTCTGCTTTGCTGGGCTTTTCCTCCGCAATCTTCTTATTGCAACTCTATGGGGAGGCAGTTTTCATCCCATTTCAGAGCGGTAAATCCACTGAGAGAAGGGGGGCAACATGCATGAGCTATGCCCAGGGCTCAGGGCTTCCTGGTTCCCAAACCGATTCTGTTTACTCCATGCTATAATAGAGGATACGCCCCTGAAGTTTCTGCAGAAAACACAGTGGGCAGAGGAGAATCATCGGAGCAGGGAGCAGTCCTTGCTTAGTCTTTAATGGACCTTATTAGCCTTATTCCTCTTTAGATAAACGAGGCATGATAATAACATAAAATGGTGCTAAGGTGGGGCACGTGGAGAGGACCAATGTGGTCCAACATACGATTAAGCCCTCTAGGGGAACAGGTATTTTACTATAGTAGTAGAGAGTAAGTAGGTGACAGGACTCTAGGGTCTGGACCCTTTCATTGCAGCTATAGGAGCCAATGGTAGAAGAAGGATGAAGTAAGAGTTGCCTTTTAGAGTGTTTTTTTTTTAAAGATCTATTTATTTATGCATACAAAAACTGGAGTACAGGCCAGAGGTGTGGGGTGTGTGTGAGAGGATTCACCAGAGAGAGTGGGGAACAGAACAGGCAGACTGACTGAAATACACTGCTGAGGGGAGCAGCAGGTGAGACAGGAGAGATCTGCTGCACAATGTGGGTAGCTCCCTGGCCGGGGATCGAACTCATGCTCCAGTGGCTGTGGATAGCTTCATAGGTTGTGTCCTAACCCCTTGCGCGACCAGGGAGGCCCCGCCTTTTAGAGTTTTTCTGGGCTATAAGATGATGAAAAGTGGGTAGAGCAGCCAGAGGAGAAGTAACAAGAACACTGAGAAGGGTGCTGCAGGTGTGTAGGCAAGAGATGGTGGGAGCAGTGAAAAATGTGTGCAGTGGAAGACAGTAGGGGTGGACTTGTCAATGGAGAAGTTAGGGAGAAAGAAGATTTAGGGATGACATCTTGGGTTCTGGCTTGGGCAACTGAGAGACCAGTGATGCCATTTATGGAGATAGGACATGATGGAGGAAAAATTGCACTGGAAGTGGAAGTGATAATTTTAACTGTGGACATATACAGTTTGAGGTAATATCAAGTGAAGCTTTCAAAGATTGTGGCTAGCAAGGCTATACCAGAAAGCAGGACTTCAAAATAACATGCTTTTGTTCAACATCAGTCCAGATTTTCGTTTTTTTCTCTCACAGCGGCATTATAACCAAACTGCATGGAACCAAGTCAAACCCAATGGATCTTTATCTGAAGACCTGTTGTACACACCGTTCCCTCTGTGACATTCTTCTCCCCTAGTAGTCAAGTTAGCTATTATTCAGCTAGTGTCATTTCTCAGAGAACCCTCCACGGATACCAGAAGCTTCTAAATATTCTCTCAAACCTTCCCCCTCTCTCGGGAGGGGAGGGATTGGGGTCAGAATGGGGGGGGGGGTTGCAATTGTATGGGGAATATAAAAATAAAATTTATTATAAAAAAAAAAAACCTTCCCCCTCTTGGAAGAGCACATATCTCTGTTTGTATTTAAACACGCGTGGTTTAATTGTTTGGTGTGTGCTCTCACTTTGCCCTGCTCTCTAACACAGCTGCTAAGAGAGTTAAAACTCACTGTATCTTCAGTGCCCGGCACGGTGCCTGGCACACAGTGGGTGCTCAACGTTTTTTGAATGACTAACTGTCGGACTGTTTCTCAATCTTCCTTCAACCAGTCCTCCTTTTGACAGCCTCGGTCCCCAGCCTGGGGCGGGTCCCTACAGGGTCGGACTTTGGCAGCACCTCCAGGCTGGCAGGAGGCCGTGCTCTTTGCTTTGTCTATCTTGGATCTCCCGCCCAGGCGCGCGGGCCGCGGAACACACGCCCGGGTGTGTCGTCGCGCCGTCACGCGGAGCCTCCCTGCCGCCTCACGTCAGTTCAGTCTTCCACTCCGACCGGAATCGAGCTGAGACCGCGAGGCCTCCGCGAACCTCCGGACGTGGGACTTACCGGCCTGGACCTCAAACCCACGCGGGTAAGAGCCAAGAGCAGGGAAGACAGTGGCGAGGCGCGCGCCCCAGACACGCGGGTCCGCATTTGGGTCTCAGCCCTTTAAGGAGCGCTCCGCTCGCCGCTTCACTAGGCCCCGGCGGCGCAGGCGCTCCGGGATTGGTTGGTTCTGGTGCGGGTGTCGCTTAGCAACAGCCAATGAGGGCTCAAGACTCACGCATGCGCACCATCGCTTACCTGCGCCCAGGCCGCCCGTGACCGGGCCGGGTCCGCCGGGTGGGCTAAGGTTGCCGAGGCAGCGGCGGGTGGTGCAGGTGGCGCGGCGGCGCGGCCGGCCGGCGCTGACTCCCGGAGGCCGCCGTCTGGCCGAGGTGAGGGTTGGTGGGCGGAGGCGGGCCCTGCGGCCCGTTAGCAGAGCGCAGGCAGGGCTGGGTGTGGCGCAAGGGCGGGCCTGGAGGTGGAGGCCGGTGCCGGCCAGCTCCGCCCTCGGCCTGGCCTCCCACACTGGGATTCTTGGGGCTCCTCGGAGTTATCTGTCCCCCTGTCTTCCGGCGGCTGCTCCCCGGACCCCGGGATGCCCGGAGATGTGCGCTTCTTGGCGTCCTTAGCTGACAGATGCGCACCGGGCGCTGCTCGCAGTAGGAGGAACCGGGGTGTGTCCACGCGAGGGAGGGGGTGATTGTTTCCCTAATTCTCCGGAAGCTCACTTCGGGATCATTGCAAAACTTTTATTTTATTTGCAAGACTTCCCGTAGCATGCCGATATTATAAGACTCGGATTACCAGATAATGAATGCACTGGACCAGTTTTCTGAACGTGTGGTGTGTAGGAGGTGATGTACCTTTGTGTCCATTGACATCTAGACTTCAGAGCCAGAAGGACAAAGGAGTCCGGGAAAAATTAGGATTGGAAAAATTCAAAGCCACAAAATAATATTCCCAGTGGTGGATAGTAACTGGTGAAATTTGTAACACGATCAGAAAAAAAGTAAAGCTCATACCGATGGACAGGGTAAATCTTCATTAAATTTTGTGAAGAAAGGATTAATTCTCATAAAGATAATTGTAAAATCAAAATGTAGATGAAAGTGGCTTAATTTTTTTTTAAATTTATTTATTTATGCATACAAGAGCTGGGCTACAGGCCAGAGATGCGGGGAGTGAGGATGTGTGTGAGAGGATTCACCAGAGACAGAGCAGGGAACAGAACAGGCAGATTGACTGAAACACACTGCTGAGGGGAGCAGCCAGCGAGACAGGAGAGATCTGCTGGGCCATGTGGGTTGCTCCCTGGCTCCTGGCTGCCGGGGGATCGAACTAGTGCTGCAGAGGCTGCGGATTGTTCATAGTGCGGTGCTTAACCCCTTGGGCCACCAGGAAGGCCCATGGCTTAATATTTCTAAATAGAATTAAATTAACCTGATAGGGTTTGCTCTTGATAATACACTTTGGATAATGTTGTTATAATTCTTAGTGTTTGTATTTAGGGTACAGAGTCCAGCTTGGTGTCTTCAAGTTTTTTTATTCTTAGGAGCCTCAGAGATAACCGCATTCAAAAAGTGATTGATGGTCAGAGTGGAAAACTGGCTTATTCAAAGTAATCCAGTGAGAAGCAAGTATGACCAGTGTAACCCTAGGCCTGTACTCCTATTAAGAGTTTTCTTACTGGTTTTGAGTGTTAGTTACTTTTAAGAGAAAGGATTATTTTAGAGAAATAGAGTAGTTGTAATTCCAAGATTGGATTTAGAGAAGTAGTAGTGGAAAGGTCATAGGTTTTTGAATATTTCATTTTGAGTAAGGAAGTTTGAGTTTGAATCTTTCGCTTTACTTCTTGAGTCTTGGAAATACTGTTTCTCCCCTGTGCAATGTAGATTTACTTTATATGTACCTCGCATATAGTTAGGTACTCAAAATAACATTATCAATGTAACAGTTTCTAACACAGTGCCTGGCATATATTAATTGCTATCAAGTATACTTCCCTACTCTTCTTAGCTCCTAATAAAGGACAGAGTTGACTTCTACCCTCCTGCTCATCCCATCCCCAAACAATGTGAAACAAAGGAGCCTTCTTGATCTACATTTTAGGTAATCAATTCTCAAGTCTCATAGGTGAAGGTGAATTCAATAAAAGCAACAACTCAATTTTGTCTTCTGTATTTGAGTGGGCAGTATATCAATGTGACGTTTGTTTGAATATTTGTATGCCAAATGAAATTCATTTTGCCTGTTTACTATTTTGTGAGACCTGGTCATTTAATGCTGTTTTTCTCTTTCCTTTTCTCTCTTTTGGAGGGAGGGTGGGTGTACATGGTAAGGATTTGGGAGAGGGTTTAGGGTAAAAGGAAGAGAAAAAAACTGGGAACAAGGGTGACCTCCTGCGATGCACAGTGTTGTAGACTAGGGATAATCTATGACATGAGCAGTTTATAATTAGATGAGTAATTTATAAATCTGAGAAGAGGATTTAGGAAATAGGGATTACAGATTAAAATAGAATTATAAAATCTAGTAGTAACTCTGGTGCTGTATATTTGATTACTACTTGTTTCTACTTTAAAAAATTCCATCTATATAAATCTCTTTTTTGCTCTCCAAGTGAGATTTATTGTTGAAAGTGTTCAAAATATAAAATATGGCAGGGAATCTGCAAACTTACATTTCATGTTTCAATGAGCAAAAATAAGCCAGCCCTTTGGTCACTCACTTATTGTGACCAAAGTGCTCCCTAATATGTGCCCATCATGGTTCCAGGTTATAAGACCCATTGGCCTATAAAAGGAACTGGTAAGACCTAGAAAACAAACTAGTATCTCCATGTGAGCACTCTGAGGCTGCCTTTGTCGTTGTGTAATCGATAATAATTTCTTTTATTGTGGCAGGATTTTCCAGATTCATGGTACTGCTTTAAACCAAATACTAGTTACCTTCAAGCATCTTTTATTTTAATCAATCTTGAGATTCATTAAATTCATTCCAAACCTTCCAGTTTAGAAATGTCTTGTAATTGTAAATTTTCTTATACGGAACTTGTACAGAACATGCTCTTCAGCATTTATGCATAAACCATCAGAATTACAGTTGATTAGCAGAAAAGATTGTTCTAGAGTAGAGAGATTAGAAATGCCATTTAAACATAAAATGCTATATAATTTAAGTAAGGGATACAAGGACCTTAAGTTATTACTTTTTTTCCAGCTTTTATTTTAAGCTAATTATTGTCACAGGAACTTGGCTATAAAGATAATACAGAGAGGTCTTATATACCCTCTACCTAGTTTTCCCCATTAGTTGCAGGAAAGGAGAACAAATCTGCAAGGACTGGGACTAAGCTTCTCTCCATCTTTACTCTTTTTAAAAATTACCTTAGCTATTTTAGTTTCTTTGCCTTTCCATATAAGTTTTAGAATAATCTTAACCGCATCTACAAACTATCTTGATATTTTAACAAGAATTGCATTAAACTTGCCTATCAATTTGGGGGGAAATTGGCATCATTACTATGCTGAGTGTTCTAATTCATGAATGTGGTATATCCTCATGTATTTAGGAATGCTGTGATTTCTTTCAGCAGTGTTTGTAGTTTTCAGCATACAAGCTCTGCACATATTGGTTATATGTATAACCTAAGTATTTTATTTTAAAAAATTACAGCTTTGTTGAGGTAATGTTTTGGAGTGATTGTAAGTGGTATTTTATTTGAAATATTCTGTGTTCATTGCTAGTGTATAGAAATACAATTGATTTTTGTATGCTGATCTTATATCCTACAGACTTATTGAACTCCTTAGTTCTAGGAGGTTTGTTTTGTTTTTTTCCCTTAGGATTTTCCCTCTAGACAGTTAGGTCATCTACACATAGATTTTGTTTTCTTTCCTTTCCTATCTATATTCCTTCTTGCCTATTTCTTGCCTTATTGCACTGGGTACAAAGTTCAGTACTGTGTTGAAGAGTAGTGCAAAAGCAGACATCCTTGTTCCTAATTTTAAAGTGAAAACATCCAGTCTTCCACCATTAAGTGTAATGTTCCTTGCAGGCTTTTTGTAGATGTCTTTTATCAAGTTGAGGAGGTTCCACTCTGTTCCTGTTTTGCTGAGATTTTATCATGAATGGGTGTTGAATTCTGTCAAATGCCCTTTCTGTATTAATTGATATCATTGTGTGAGTTTACTTGTTGAAGCATTATGATGACTGCTCTAAAGTCTATCATATAATTCTGACATCTCTGTCATCTTGTGTTGGCACCAGATGATAGTCTTTGCTTGTTTAAATTAGATTTCCTGTTTCTTTGTATGATCAGTGATTTCTGATTGAAACCTGGACATTGGGTGTTACGTTATGAGTCTCTGGATCTTACTTAGATCCTCAGGTTCAGTTGGCCTTTGTTGACTCTTCTCTCCCAGGGGAAGTGGGGATACTATCTGATTACTGCCAGGGAAGAGTAAAAATCCAGGTTTCAACTCAGGCTATTTGGGCGCCCTGTAGGGAAAGGACTGCTCATTATAGCTGCAGAGATGGGCCTCCTGTCTCCCAGGGGCACGGTGGGAGTGGTTGGCTCCTTGCTGCCGTTGGCTCCTTGCTGCCCGTGGCTCGCTACTTGGTCGTCTGTCACTCTACCCTAGCAGGATGGGTGAGCTGGGGGGCAACTCATTCCCACCAGGCAAGGCTGATGGAGATTTTTTTCTGTGGTATTTGGCTGGAGTAGAGCATTTTTGTCTGAAAACTTTATGGTTTGCTAGAATGTACCTTTCTTGATTTTTTGGGGTGGATCAAGTTGTTGTTGGACTTTAGTGTGTGTTCATGCCTGTTGGTGTTTCTGGGTTGTCAGCTTATCCAGCACCAAGAATGGGATATACAAGGCAAAAAGAAAACTGAGTGAAAGCATTCCTTAGGCCCCAAGGTCCCTGGCCCATCTCCTTCTCTCCACCTGTGAGAATTGTCTTATGTTTGCTTTCTATACAATATGCAGGTTTTTAGTTCTATTTAGTGGGAAGAGGAAAAGGTACTTCAAGTCTGTCTTTCTGGAAGAAGTCCCCAGTTCATTCTTTTAAGGCAGTAGCCAGATCTCTTATTTGGCTGTCTCATAATAGCGCATAATCTAAATTTATAAACATCACATCCCTATCATATACAAAGCACTGTGGAGCACACAAAGGTGAATCCCTATTTGTATTAATTTTTTTCATCTTTGTAATACAAAGTGCATTTCCACAAAAAAAAATTTGTTAAAGCTTTTGTCATCATTTAGACACAGCCACAGTAGCATGTACAATCCTTCAGTCCTTGGGCAGCTGCCATACCATACATTCACACACTCACATGTACACGAACACAGGAGGCAGTTAATGCGAATGCCACCTTCATTTAAGCATCATAAATATTTTTTTAAATGGATGTGGATTTTACTAGGTTACAGTTGTGTAACTTGATAGGGCTGGAAAACAGAGTTTTTATTTATTTTCAATGCTATTGTTTTAGAAGCAGGTTTGATCACCAGAGGATAAAATAGTTGAAGTAGAGAGCCTGGAGGGACTTCTGGGTCCCTTAAAAAGTGGTAGAACTGGTCCTTAAGTTTACTATCACTTGGAAAGGTTGCTGTTTTCCTTTCTAATGATTTAACACAATACCTGGCACTTTGGCAGGTCCTCTGTAAAGACTGCCATAGAGAAGATATTTGGGGGTTCACAGTTGGAATAAGTGCCTACTACTTTCCCCTAGAAGAGCATAAAATTTATTAAGCTCCCTAAAAACTACCTTTCCTTTTTCACCTTGGGGTTTTGTCCCATCTCTGACTCTCTTAATATCTCATTGAGTCGTCTTTTTTTTTTGGTCTGAGTGTCTGTATATGTTAAATTATTTTTGCATAGAACTCGGGTGTAGCCAGACATGTGGGGGCAAGAGGATTCACCAGAGACAGAGTGAGGAGCAGAACAGCCGGGTCCACTGAAATACACTGCTAAGGAGAGCAGTGGGCTAGACAGGAGAGGTCTGCTGCGCCATGTGGGTCAGCTCCCTGGCTGGGATTGAACTCAGGGCATAGCAATAATAGCGCTGAAACTTAACCCCTAGGCCACCAGGGAGGTCCCAATTTAGCAGTTTTGTTTGTGGAAGTTTTTTTCTTGGGACTTTTCACATTTTTGCTCCTCAATGAAAAGTGTGGGGAGATGGGTGGGACAAACAGACTGTGTAGGGACTGTTGGTTGGTAGACTCATTTTTCTTTTTCCCTTCTCTGTGTTTTTATACCACTGCATTTTCTGTGTGATTAAAATAGTAATTATTATTTATTCATCCATTTCAGATATGATCTTTATTCTTAGAAATTGCACTTAGTGAAAGTGATCAATCAGCAAAATAGAAAACAAAGAGACTTTCTGGGAATTTAGAGGAGGAAGAAGTGTTTCCAGCTTGGCAAATCTGGGAGGGTTTTGTTAGCACATGACCAAGAGGTACTCAGGGATCCCAAACTATTAAGGGGTGCATGCTTTAAAAGGGATTCTGCCATCTGCCTCGTAAAGATAGAGGAAACAGACGCTTAGTGTGATGGATCTTTAATAGAATCAGTGTGCATAGAGCAAGAGGAGAAGAAAGGATAGTCCTAAAAATGTTTCCTAATAAAACATCCCAAATTACCCATTTCTTATGGGCAAATGCCCAACCAAACAGGATTGACCTAAAATGGGACTGCTGAGGTCCAAAAGCTTGCCATAAAAATAAGGCACCTTCTGGTGGGGAACAACCAGAAAGAGCTAGAGCAGGTTTGGGACAAAAAGAGCAAAAGACAATGCAATATCAAAATAATGGCTGCCATTATCTCAACCTAGGGGGGCTGTCTCAATCACAGCCTTCCCCTGTGTCTCACCCATGTGTCTCAAGTGCCTCCTTCCATGTCTCTTCCCTAAATCTCTGGGTGGAAGTCAGAGCTGAAAAAGCAAGTCTTTTGTGTTGCATAGCTTCACCTGGCTGCTTAGCTCTGCCCCCAGTACCCAGTAGCTCCCCCTGCTCAGAAAGTTTGGTTCATGGCCCACTGGGGTCTTAGCTCCGTGTAGTGGGGGTGGGAAAATGGTGTCCACTCGCTGTGTTGCAGTCCCACCCCCCCACCCTTGTGGAGACGCATTCTGCAGTGGTTTCATGGAAAGAGTAGATTTGAGACAGTCCTTGTGGGGTTGGATATGGGGAAGCCGAGTTGTGGCAGACATAGGTGAAGAATACACTGAGGCACAGATGGAGGTGAAGGAAGTACTGTGCCTCATGGGGGCTCCCCTTTCCTACTGCTCACGGGAATTGAGATGCCAAATAAGGTTACAGGCAGACTTCTTTGGAAAAGCCCACCTCTGTACATACCTGTCAACATCCCGTGAAGTAGGAGGCCTTACAAACAGGATGTGTGAAATAGGTTGTTTGGGCACATGGGGAGACCCACTGTGGCTGTAATGGCCCCTTCACTAAGCTGTAATTCAGCTGTAATGGCCCCCTAATTGGGCAATCACAGGCGGGTCCTGTCCTGCACAGGCACCTGCAGAGTTAATGTATGGAGGTTAAACCCAGTCAGATTGCCAGCAGAGCTGGGCCAGGGCTGTTTTCTATCCTGAGAAGCATCTTTTTCTCATTTACCATGAGGTTTCAGATCTGTTTCTTTTTGTTTCTTAATAGTGCTCACATATCCAAGCCAAATATTTAGGAGCTTACTATAATTTGCTAAATGACTTCTTTAGCCATCTGTAGGAGCTCAGTCATCATTGTGGAGACTGGCTCTCATTTGTAGGAGCACACATTTGACTCTCACAGTTCCTCTTCCCCTTCTGCTCTGTTTGCCACCAACGTTAGGTTACGTGCTCAGAATCCTTTCACCCTCCTCCACCTCCCTGCGGGTGAGGATATGGCAACTAAACTGCTCAGCAGCTACATCCATCCCCACTGCTGCAGTGTCGGGCACTCCATCCCTTTGGGGTCACCTTGCTACTTGTATCTTGCTACCCACTATTATTGCTGTTGTTCCTGAGTCCATCGGATCCTGCCTCCTTACTTTTGGTTGTTTTTTTTTTTTTAAATTTATTTATTCATTTATACAAGCACTGGGTACAGTTAGAAGTGCGGGAGGGTGAAAGAATCCACCAGAGCCAGAGCGGGGAGCAGAACAGGCAGACTGACGAAGTACACTGCTGAGGGGAGCAGCGGGTGGCAGGAGAGGTCTGCGCACCATGTGGGACCCTCGCCTGGTGGCCGGGGATTGAACAGGTGCTGCAGAGGCTGCAGGCAGCTTCACAGCCCAGCGCTCAACCCCTGTGCCACCGGGGAGGCCCTGCCTCCTTACTTTTGTGTTCCTTTCTTCCTTGTCTGGTTCATTCTGAAAAGGGAGCGATTCAGTAGAGAGAAGGAAAAGGAAGGTTGCAAGTGAGTAGAGACAACTAGGGGAATAATGAAGGGAGATTGGGAGTAACATAACAGTAGAGGCCACAGAAATAATAAATACAAAATTTGCAATTACGGTGGGGATGAGAGTGAAGCAACCTGGAGTGGACATTTCAAGAGAGGGGTCAGGTCTCCGCCACCATCATCTGACCTCAGTAACAAGAGAACCTTGCTTTCCTCAGGTGTCCTGATGACTTCTCTTGCGGACCATGTCCATGATCCTTTTTGCCTGTGTGGTAAGGGTGAGGGATGGACTACCCCTCTCAGCTTCCACTGACTTTTATCACGCTCAAGATTTTCTGGAATGCAGGAGACAGCTCAAGATGTTAGCCTCGCGACTGGCCCAGTATCCAGGTCGTGGCACTGCAGAAGGTCTTCACTTCAGGATACAGTAAGCGAGCATTTTCACTTCTCCAGAACATCAGCAAAATGTGCGTTACTTTAGCCACCTCATGAGGTAATATTGTGCTGATCATATTGTGCATTAAAAGTCGAACTAAGCCCCAGATAATGGTTGTCAATAATTTGCAACATTAGAGTCATGGGTGCCCCAGGCACTACTGCCCCATCGCCTGCCTTTCTCTTAATGGAGTGCCCAGGAGAACTGGACATCTAGATTCAACCAGTTTTCACACTTTTGGTTTGGTCGTTTTCCCTGTATTAGATGCAGGGGTAGAAAAAAGGTGACAGGGGAGGAGATAATAGATTACAACGTGGGGGAAGGAAAAGGGCATGAATGAGAAAATTAAAAAAAAAACTTGACTTATAATTCTTGCCTTCAGTTTTTTGCTTTTTTAATTAAAAAAAATTAATATGAAACAGGAGTAGGAGAGTGAAAATGAGCACAAGTATGGTCTCTTGATTTGAGGAACTTCAAATCTAATGAGACCAAGAGAAATGCATAACTGGATATGATAGCAAAGGAGATGTTCCAGAGGAGTAAGAATCAGGAGAGACCAATAGTCACAGTAATAATAGCTGATGCTATCTATGCCAGGCATGACCCAAGTGTTCTGTGGCTTCTGAGGTGGATTAATAGTGTTCTGTGTGGCCTCCCTGGTGGCACAAGGGGTTAAGCACCGCACTATGAAGCAATCTGCAGCCTCTGCAGCATGAGTTCGATCTCCAGCCATCCAGGGAGAAACCACATGGCGCAGCAGACCTCTCCTGTCTCGCCCTCTGCTCCCCTCAGCAGTGTATTTCAGTCAGTCTGCCTGTTCTGTTCCCCACTCTGTCTCTGGTGAATCCTCTCACCCCCCACATCTCTGGCCTGTACCCCAGCTCTTGTATGCATAAATAAATAAATCTTTTTTAAAAAATAGTGTTCTATGTGTTTACAGCAGAAACAGAGGCTAGGTGACTCACTTGAGATTCCACCTCTGGTAGGTGTTAGAGCAGGATTTGATTGCGGGCAGCCGGCCCCAAGGTCTGCTCCTCAAGTGTTTTATCATTTCTTATTTTAGGGCTAAGAGCATGAAGCTAGTCATTCTATGGAGATATCAGGGGCAAGGCTGGCTTTTAAAATATCGAAATGAACTTGTTATAGACTTTATATCATTCTTTTCCAGTATTTACACTTCACTTACCAAATCCCTTTTGCTCCCTTGAGTAGTAAACTCTTAGGTGACCCAACACGATGTAGGGCCTTTAAAGAGGATTCAGTCACCAAACCAGAAAAACCATGGGAAAAGTCCAGGCCTGATTGAATGCTCAGTGGTGGTGTCAGGCAAGAAGGGGCCTGGCCAGAAAAGGGGTACCGGAGGCATGCCGGGGCAGCGGTCACCCTGTGGTGTGGACTCTGGGTGCTGAGGGGCAGAAACCAAGCTGCCTCTGCCCACCTTTGTGATTTCTTTTTCTGGGTGCCTGGTACCCACCTTCCTTGATGGCCCTTTCCTCAATATGCTGTGATTAACTCACAGTCTGTGGGAACTTGGTGCTGTGCTACAAATAGGAAGCCTTTTCTTTGTTAAGAAAAAAAGTCTGGGGCCTCCCTGGTGGTGCAAGGGGTTAAGCACTGCACTATGAAGCAACCCGCAGCCTCTCCAGCACGAGTTCAATCCCCGGCTGGCCAGGGAGCAGCCCACATGGTGCAGCAGACCTCTCCTGTCTCGCCCGCTGCTCCCCTCAGCAATGTACTTCGGTCATTCTGCCTGTTCTGTTCCCCACTGTCTCTGGTGAATCCTCTCACCCTCCCCTTCTCCCCTTGCATCTCTGGCCTGTACCCCAGCTCTTGTATGCATAAATAAATCTTTAAAAAAAAAAAGTCTATGACCTCACATGAAATCCTAGCTGCTTCAGCCTTTTTTAAAATGGAGTATTAAATGTCCTACTCATTTGTATTTTGAATTAAATATTTAGCATTATTTTCACAGAGGAACATTTTTATCTACAGGTGAGCAGTACCACAGCTTATTTTGTAGTTGAGGAGTTGAATTATTTTCCTAGGCTGCCATAACCAAGTCACAAACTGCTTAGACAACAGAAATTTGTTTGCACAGCTCTGGAGGTTAGAATTTTGCAATTAAGGTGTAGGAAGGACCATACTCCCTCTCTGAGGAAGAAAACTCAGAAATATGAATACGTAAAGTTTATTTTAAATAGATAGAGGAACCTGAAAGAAATCCCCCCAAATGAGAAATCTTTGGGATTTCCCAAGAAATCCCCCCAAATGAAGGAGAAACAGAGTATCATGGAGGTGAGTGTGTGAGCTGACACTGAGGCTCCTGAGTGATCAGTCACAGTGAGCGCTGGGCTTGAGCTTTGGCACCCATGAAGGGAGAGGCCTTGGCGAGGTGTTGGAGCCAGACCCATGGATCAAGGAGGGATTTTTGTCAGGCTACAACCCTTGTGAGATGATGGTAGGTGAGAAATGGCCTGTCCACCAGTGCAGGCCTTACTCATATCTGCGTGACTTTGGGTGGGAAGGAGAAATAACTCTCACCTAAGAAATGGAATCCTTGCCCCTGTGTCTCATGCAAGGTTGGACTTTGAGTTTATACTCCTCAGGGTCTGTGAATCACTCAGCCAAGGTTCAAATATCAGTATTGGTTCCAAACTGATGACACTCCCAGAGTAGCCGGCCAGAGGAAGCACAGAACCACCCTGGAAATGCACCACAACTCAGGCATTAAGAGATTCTTATGGGGAAAAAAAGAAGCCTTCATAGCGATGAGCTCTCAGCTAAAAATGACAAAACACTAAAAGAGATATTCCATGGGCTTCCCCTGGTGGCGCAGGCAGTTGAGTGCCGCACTGTGAAGCTGTCCGCAGCCTCGGCAGCACCAGTTCGATCCCGGCTGGCCGATGAGGGTCCCATATGGCGCGGCAGACCTCTCCTGCCGCCCGCTGCTCCCCTCAGCAGTGTATTTCGTCAGTCTGCCTGTTCTGTTCCCCGCTCTGTCTCTGGTGAATCCTCTCACCCTCCCATGCATCTGGCCTATATCCCAGTTCTTGTGTAAATGAATAAATAAATCTTTAAAAAAAGAAAAAAAAGAGCTATTCCACAATGAGGGGAGTCAGTAGACACCACAGACAGAACGAGAGGCCTCAGAACTTGAAATGCTATCATGACAGCTGAAAAAGAAGCCAGAGAAGAAAAGCCCTGCATTGATTTTATTAGACCAGATAATACTTACTAGCACAACCATGTGAAGATGTATAATAAAGGAAAATTATAGGCCAGTTTTACTTTTCATAGATACCAGAGTCCTAAATAAAACATTAGGAAACTAAGCCTAGCAGTTGTATGTGTATGAGTAGGCACAAATTCACAATCAAGGAGGGTTTATTTCGGTATATCAGAATGATTTAATATTAGAAGCTCTATTGATATAGGTTAAAGAATAACATTTTCTCAATAGATGCAGTATAGTCTGAGGTTAATTCCTCTAGTGGGACACGCATCCCTTATGCTTGGATAAATAAGAGTGATCATGCACTGCGTGGCAAATAATGCTATACCTTATAGAGGCAGTAGAAGAAAGGCAGTTCCAGGCAGGTCTGGCTGAAGAGATGACACAGATGTGATTACTGAGTCCAGAATTAAGGCAAGGTTGTGCCTGGTGTGTCTTGGGAATACTTGGGTCTCTCCCCTGGTAACGTACACGTTGCTCTTTTGTTGCAGCTTTTCTTCTTCAGGGCATGTGGCCTGCATGGCTATCTGCTCCCACCAGTGTCCAGCCGCCATGGCTTTCTGCTTTCTGGAGACCTTGTGGTGGGAATTCACAGCTTCCTATGACAACACCCACATTGGCCTAGCTGTCCGGCCATATGCCTTTCTGGAATTTGGTTTGTAACCTCTTTCATATTTATTCTCTGTTATGTAGGTGTAGAATTTATACTTTAGGTTTGGCTTTGACCTTCTAGGAAAACCACTGAAAGTGCTATAATGTGTCACTGAAGAATAGCTTTGTGCCATTAGATTTCACAGTTACAGAAGTGGCATGGAAAGCTTCAAGGTTTAACTCTCTGGCCTCCAGAGCATGGAGGTGGGGTGGTGGATGGTGGAACTTGTACTTGAATGTGAGTAACAGCTGAGCTAAGATTCAAGCCCCCTATCCTCTGACTACCTTGTCATTGAGGTTCTGGAAGGCAATATTGCCTTCTTTATAGACAGACTATGTCATATAATTATTCTGCTTTGAAGAGATTGATAAGACTAGTAATGACATGTGGTCATCATTTGACCTTTATGTATAGCTTGACACTTGTCAGAATCTGGCTGACTTATTAACTTGCTTAGAACTGCATTTTGTATGTAGGTCTTATGTACTCCGTTCTGATGAAAATGCTCAATTTGGGTTGCTCTGTCTTTGCAGATAGCATCATTCAGAAAGTGAAGTGGCATTTTAACTATGCAAGTTCTACTCAGATGGGGAGCAGTTTAGAAAAAATTCAGGAGGAGCTCGCGTTCCAGCCTCCAGTGGTTCTCACTCTGGCAGACACAAACATGGCAAATGGGATGATGAATGGTCACACGCGGATGCACTTAGAGCCTGGTACGTGACCTGCTATTCTCTGATGCTGCTGAAGATGAGTGATATTAGTGTTTCAAATGGGCATTGCTTTTTTTGTCTTTTTTTTTTTTTTTCAATAGAAAGCTGTTTTTTGAGGTCCAGGGTGAGAAGGGTATCTAATATGAACTGATCTTGTTTCCAGGTGGTTGTTATAAAAAACTTGAATATTAATGACAGTGGATTGATCTGAGGGAAAGCAACTGATGAAATTCAGAAGAGTGACTTGGCAGGTTATTTTCTTAACCAGGGTGAGGTCTACAAATTTAAATGTTGTAAGGGGATTCGTTCTCTTTTACTAGAAGTCACTTAGTGAATGATAGACATTTGTGTATATTCTCTCCCTCTCTTTTTACAGATAACAAATCCTTATCTCATCATATCACGTAGTGAAACATTGCAATTCTCTCCTTGATGGAGGGAGGGGGGAAGGCTGTGGGCACGAGAGTGGGCAGAGGTCAGAGCCAGGGCTCTTCTTTTCTGACTCCATGAGACCTGGGGGTGTCCTTCTACCCCTGTGAATAGAGTCCTTATCTGAAGATTGGGGTTAGTGGGCAGGAGCACAGTGCCCCGGCATTCCACGGCTTCCTCTGGTAGTAAGTTCTCAGTGTACATTATGAAGCAGGGTTCCTGCATTGCTAGCTTACAGTTACACATAATTAAACTCACTTCTTTCAATGATAATAAATGTATTTCATTAACTTTTTAGATGTATAAAGCCTTGCACTAGATTTTTACAAGCTAGTGAACAATAACAAATTATTTCTCCCACAGAACTTTAACCACACATTTCCAGACAGTAAAAATATATGGTTGACTGGATCTAATACACATCACCAATTCCCTTCCCTCCCCTCCCCTCCCCTCCCCTCCCCTTCCCTCCCCTCCCCTTCCCTTTCCTTCCCTTCCCGCACTGGGTACAGTCAGAAGCGCGGGAGGGTGAGAGAATTCACCAGAGCCAGAGTGGGGAGCAGAGCAGGCAGACTGACGAAATACACTGCTGAGGGGAGCAGCGGGCAGCAGGAGAGGTCTGCGCACCATGCGGGACCCTCCTCTGGTGGCCGGGGATCAGCTGGGGATTGAACCGGCACTGCAGAGGCTGCGAGCAGCTTCGCAACCCAGCGCTCAACAGCTGCACCAGGGGAGAGGCCCCACATCACCATTTTCCATTACATAATAAATTAACATGTATCCAAATATTAAGTTACAGAGCTCAAAGGGCATATAAAATATCAGATGTCTGCGCAGTCAGTTCATTGGCACATACCTACTTTTTTTTTTGCAAGAGAGTAAGTAAACCAAGTTAGTGTATATTTACATTTTAAGAATTCTGTAATGGTGTAAGATCTGAGTCCTTCTCTGAAAGATAGAGCTGTTTACAGTATAACAGTCTAATTATTTTATTTTATATTAAACTAATTGCTTCAATTTTAAAGTGGTGTATTAAAAGTATTTACATTTTGGCATAACTTTGTGTTTTATTTTAATCAGATCCAACCAGTAAAATTCCTGGAATGGCTCTCATGCCAATTAATAAGTTGTAATTTATTTTGGGAATGAACTTAACTTTTATAGAAGGGAGACTGTGTTATTGACACCAAGCTTCTCCTTTGCCATCTCTGCAGATAGGGGTAACTTTGTCACCTGTGTTTTGTTTTTTAAACACTTAGACAAGGGCCTCCCCGGTGGCGCAGCGGTTGAGCGCTGGGTTGCGAAGCTGCCCGCGGCCTCTGCGACGCCGGTTCAATCCCCGGCTGCTCCCCGGCCACTGGAGGAGGGTCCCACATGGCGCGCAGACCTCTCCTGCCGCCCGCTGCTCCCCTCAGCAGTGTACTTCGGTCCTTCTGCCTGCTCTGCTCCCCGCCCTGGCTCTGGTGAATTCTCTCACCCTCCTGCGCTTCTGACTGTACCCAGTGCATGTATAAACAAACAAACAAACAATAAATAAATAAATAAAAACATGCCTCTATTAAAAAAAAAAAAAAAAAAAGATTTCTTAAACACTTAGACAAGAGGAACAAATCCAGAAAGTGTCAACTTGCCCATGTTGCTAAGACATTTTACTGTGGTTTGACTCACTCTATTATCCTGAGGCTAGAATCTTTATAGGTAGTATGTTCTGTTTTAACAGGACTTTGAATTGCTCACTGGAACCTCTAACACACTAACAATAATCATCAGTTGGGTAGCCGTAGGGGTGGGTGTGTGTGTGTGTGTGCGTGTGTGTGTGTGTGAAATATAAGGACAAGAAAGGATGATTTAAAAAGAGCATAGTAAGAGAATGGGTAGAACACCATTTAATTGTGTGAACCAGAATCAATTTCAGCCATTATATAGATATACTTTTAAAGATTTATTTATTCATGCATACAAGAACAGGGATATAGGCCAGATGCACGGGAGGGTGAGAGGATTCACCAGAGACAGAGCGGGGAACAGAACAGGCAGACTGACGAAATACACTGCTGAGAGGAGCAGCAGGCGAGACAGGAGAGGTCTGCTGCACCATGTGGGACCCTCCCCAGCCAGCCGGGATCGAACTGGTGCTGCAGAGGCTGTGGACAGCTTCACAGCATGGCGCTCAACTGCCTGGGCCACCAGGGGAGGCTCTCAGCTGTTATATTTAAAGAGAGAATGATCATTTGTTCTAATTAGAGTTTCAGAAATAGCTTGTAGTTAAAATTATCTGTTTTTCTCCTCTTCCCAATTATTTTATAATTTAAAAAAAAGCATTTGTTATGAATTCTGGAAGCATACATGACACTGAATATTCTCTTGTCAGGAAAAGAGTAGAGCATTTTACTAGCTGAGGTATACAATGGAAATGCTTTCAGAATTTGGTAACAAGTTTATAAATAAAGCCATAAATTGCTTTAAATCATTAGGTTCTGCCTAAGTCTTATTAGTATTTTGTACTGGAAAATTCCTTGTTGTAAGGCTGTCTTGTGCATTGTTAGATGTTTAGCACCTGCTAGATGTCTCCAGTTATGAGAAAACCCAAATTGTCCCTCGACATTGCCAAATGTCTACTGAGGGGCCATTTCGCCCCGGCTTGAGAAGCACTGCTTTAAATCGAAAGAAAATCGAGCACTTGAAAAACCTGTGCTTGCTCTGATAGAAAGTCACCTCAGGGCCTCCCCGGTGGCGCAGCGGTTGAGCGCTGGGTTGCGAAGCTGCCCACAGCCTCTGCAGCGCCGGTTCGATCCCCGGCTGCTCCCCGGCCACCGGAGGAGGGTCCCACATGGCGCACAGACCTCCCCTGCCGCCCACTGCTCCCCTCAGCAGTGTACTTCGGTCCTTCTGCCTGCTCTGCTCCCTGCTCTGGCTCTGGCTCCCTGCTCTCACCCTCCCGCGCTTCTGACTGTACCCAGTGCTTGTATCAATAAATAAATAAATAAATAAATAAATAAAATCTTTAAAAATAAATAAAAAAAAAGAAAGTCACCTCAGATTCCCAGACCCATTCTGTCCTTCATTTCTTGCCTTTCTCCTGCCTAACCACAGCTGCTTTTAAAATTAATGTTTGTAATTGTGTGTTTAACATAATGAACTTATCATTAGTGGAGGTCTAGTTAATGTCTTTGTTTATTTTTCTTTCATATAGAAATTATTTTCACTAGACACTTATTTTTTTTGTGAAGCTCCTACTTTCCGAATGGAACCAGTGACAGCCTTGGGCATCCTCTCCCTTATTCTCAACATTATGTGTGCTGCTCTGAATCTCATTCGGGGAATTCATCTCGCAGAACATTCTTTACAGGTAACCTGTTCTTTACAGTTTAAATAGAAGGGCACATGATGGGAGAAACTGGTGGAGCTACATTTTGTTTTTAAGGTGGTTATGTCCTAAGGTTTTAAAATTTAAAAATTCACAAAATTTTATTTCTGATTTTATACTTTATAGCAAGTTGAGGAAATACATGAAACTTGCTCTTTTGTATCTGTTGTCCTAAGAAGTCAAGGTACCTGCTGGGATACTGAGAAGCAGACAGCCTGCTATGGGGGAGCTTCAGACCACCCTGTGACCTTGGGGGTCACAGGAGTCACTCCAGGGGCTGGATCTTTTCCCCAGGGCAAAGGTTTGATTCTCAGACTTTAACAATCAGGCTCCTTTATTCCCTAGGAAAAGTTGTCTTATAGTCTGATTTATATAATCCAGATATCACCTTCCCTATTTATTGGCCAAAGAATTGCACACTAGGAAGTTGATTGGCTAGCCCACTCATTTCAAAGCAATTTTCCATTAACAATGCTTTTTAAATATCTTTTTGAAGTTCTTCAAAACCTTTTTTAAAAGGGTAGAGCCAATATGAGCATAAAAAGATACTGCTTTAAAAAATGGAGCTATAATGCTGCCACTTGTGTATGGTAATAAAAGTCTTAGGCCTGCTGATGCTGAATCTCAGGAGACTAACATAGATTGGCCTGTTAGGAGAATGGCAGCAGGCCTGTGCTGTAGGGCAGTAATCACCTGTTCCACATGCTGACCAATAATGTGTGCTGTAGTTTCTTCTTACTGTTTGTAACTACTCATCTGAAGATACTTCCAAGTGTCTGCACATACAAGAACAGGTGCCTGGCCAGCAAGATGGTTAAGACCACAAGCTGTATATGGTGACATCACTATGGGGGCGGGAATTAGAGAAAGCTTGGTAATGACAGATGATTTTGGGAGGTGGTGGGGTTGGGGGACATTTCAGGTTGGGGGCTTAGCATAGATGGCTGGGGACAGGAGGGTGCATGGAGTATCCAAGACATTGAAGATGGTTGCAGGTCAACCTCTGATCTGATTGGGTCTCACCCAGCCAGGGATTTTTAGGTTCAACCAGAGCAGAATGAGTAAGGAGTACTCTGCCATAATATTTCCTTTCATCTAAATATTTCTTTTCTTACATTCTTTGTCTTGTAGATGGCCCATGAGGAAATTGGAAATATTCTAGCTTTTTTTATTCCTTTTGTAGCCTGCATTTTCCAGGTGGGTGAAATATTAATATTTTGGTGAATCAGTTAAACCCATTGCCTTATTTTTTTCTTCTGTTGGAACCATCAGCAAGTTTTTAGATTGTAGTTTTGTTCCACCAAGTCCTTGGCTCAAGTCTTAGACAATACCAGTCCTTAGTCAAAGAACTTCAGGCTCATCCTGCCCACTCCTCTCATTTTGCAGGGAAAGGACTTTGATCTCAGAAAGGCAGAGCCCTGTTTGAGGCAGTGGGACCTTTGACAGCAGAACAGTAGTGAAAGCATGGCTTCTCTCCCTGGCTTTCTTGCCTGCCATGGTTTCCTAAAAAGGAAAAATTCATGTGTAGGTCAGTCCGTCTCCTTAGGGTATCCGGACCTCACTATCTGCCTTTCACCTGCATCCTTTCTTTCTTTGCAGCCCATGGCCTGGGCATTTTTGTCTGTATTTCTTACACTTCTTTCAAGAGTGCTGTGCTCTCTTTTCTTGTGCACACTTTTCTTGTGTCACTTCTTTCATCCAAAGCCCCACTTTTATCCAGTGATTATCCACAGAGTCCAAGGTTCATTACAGTTAACTCAATTTAAAAAGCTAATGTGTGTGAAATGACACAGTGTATGGCAGGTGTGAGACGTGAACTTGCATTTGATGTTATTACCTCTGATTGGGATTCCTCTCATGTATCATTTCAGTGTTATTTGTACCTGTTCTACAGTCCTGCCAGGACTACGAAGGTGGTGCTGATGCTGCTTTTTATTTGCCTGGGCAACATGTACCTGCACGGACTAAGGAACCTCTGGCAAATCCTTTTCCACATAGGAGTGGCTTTTCTGTCTTCCTATCAGATCCTGACAAGGCAGCTCCAGGAAAAGCCATCTGACTGTGGAGTGTGAGGACAACATCATGAGATGAGTGGATCCTTTGATTTCCTTTGAGGGTCATCTGTGATTCCCTTTTTGCTTCTCAACTTCACCTCAAGCTTCCACCCTTGAAGTTCCTTCTACCAAACTGGACTAATAAGCTGAGAATTGGGGGTTTCTAAGAGGTGCAGGTGAAGGCATTGGGTTGGCTTGATACCCAGTCCCTGTTGTGTGCTGAGTGTGGCTGCAGAAGCTCCTGGTCAGCACGTTTACTGAGGATGGTGGAATCTGAGGGCTTAATCAGAAGCAGCATTATGGAAGATCAGAATGGAATTATTTTGGTCTTTTAAATTGAATGAGGCAATAAACCACTAGATTTAGTAACACTAGTTATAGTAATTGGCAGTTGTCTCCAAGGACCACTTTAAAATCCATATCAACTTTTCACTCTAAATGTGACTTGGTAAGTTTTTTTTTTTTTTTTTCCAAGAGGATGAGTACAGGGTGAATTTAAAACTTCAAGCTATGATTTCATAAATATAAGCCAGATAAATTTTGTTTACATTTTTTGATAATTTGGGTCCTATGTAATACCTTTAAAATACTTTAATATATTTTGAATATAAATTGAACTTATTTTCATTTAGGGAAGGACATAGTTAAGATCAGACAATGGTTAAGAAAGCTGAGCTTACTTAATTTGTACATAACCTTTTATGGTGGTAGAACTGTATAGGTACATACATGTTCTGTATTTATTTGAAGGGTATATTTGAATATTTTAAAATTTAATTGAGTAGCCAATACTAGTGATCATAGGCTTATAAGCATGAGCAGAAATGAGAACTTTAGGATTCCTTATAGGTGGCTACAAACTGGAGTCGGTGAAACACAGGATTCACAAGCGGCACTTAACACACCCCGGTGGGAGAGGCGCTGTCGTCAGCCCCACATGTAGCCGCCGATTGCCTGTCACTTTAATGATAACATATCCTCGATCCTGTGTATCTGTCCCCAGAGGGTCTCCCACTCATCTTCATTAGATCAAGGGCCTCATTTTTTTTTAATGAGCAAGCGTTAAGTGGGTGTTAACTTTTTAAAGTCCTTATAAAACATATCATTGATCCTGTACTCTCAAAATTTCTTTTCTCACTCTCATTGTCAAAATACTGATTAGTCATCGTTTTCCAAAATGTGGTTCTGAACAAGGTCTCTTCCATCTCCAGAAATTTCAGCCTGGGTTGTCCAGTACCATTCTGGAGGCCATTTCAGGAGTTTGCCCTTTAGATTGTTCTTGGTAGAAGTCTGGAATCTAAAGAATTCAACCACAACTGCATGGGATGCTTTGGGATGAAATATGTGGTTTTGATAAATTTTTAAAGACTCTATTTTGATAGCTTTTAAAGGTTGAAAGCCTTTGCAGCAGTTATTGAGTTGATAGGGAAAGTAAAAATATCCTTTTAAGTTCACTTGCACTTGGTTTTTGTTAATTGGTGGTGTATTGTTAGCGAGCAACCTTGGTATCGCTTGAAAAAAAGTTTACGTGACTGGTAACTGTGTTGGGAAAAATGTTGCCATAGTAATTTTATTTTCTTATAATAGAAATGTTCTATTTTTAAGCAAGTATCTGGACATGAAAGTTACTTTGGCAACATCCTCAGAAACTTCAAAGTTGTCTCTCCATTGATTTTATAACTCCGTAGTTTTCTGCATGTCTGGCAGGTGAATTCTCAGACTTTCTGGGAGATAATTTTGAAGAGATGGTAAAGTAGAATGGGAAGTCAAGGAGCAGAGACAAATCCTTTTAGGTTAGAAGCACAAAAAAGAGGGCTTTAAGACTTGGTAAGAAAAGCTTAAAAATTTCTTCTCCAGCCCATGGGGGTGGTGTTGCCATGTGCCCCATATTCCAGGTGCTCTGGGGGGGTGGGGGGTGGGCTGAGCCTGCGATCCATATTCAGTGAAGAGTAAAGATTGATACTGGAGCAGGAGCTCCTCCTAGGAATGCTTCCGGTACACGAGGCTCTAGTGGACCTGTTATCCATACTCTGTTGGATGTGCTTTTTCAATAGCTACATGGGATTTGAGATTTACATTTGAAAACTAAAGGGAAAAGACACACTAGATAAACAGTACAAAATAATGACTACATAAACTCTAACCAAAAGAAGCCTCAGCTCACTGGAGCAAGTGACTCATGATAGGAAAGAAATCCTAGATACTTTGTCCAAGGGAATTACCTGGTTTAGGGTAGGCTTGATTCGGGCCTCTAGGCCCCTGTGTCATCCTTGATGCCAGAAAATGGCTCCACAGCACAGGCCTCACTCCACCAGGGACTCCCTGCCGTGCTAGCACCTTTGTTTTCCCAGTAGTTAAATACCACCTGCCCAACCGACCTCACAGGGCTCTCTCTGGGAATAGATGAAATACTGCTGAAAACAAAACCTCAAAAGTGCCTTCCGGGATCGGATGCTGCTAGCTCTTGGCCATCAGAATGTGTTATGTCCCACCTACTGTTTCCGGCAGGAATGTGGCTCAGTGGTCTGGGACAGTTTTCCGATCAAGCCACCAAAGTCCAGAGGGTCCCCCTCCCCAGGTGTGCCGATGAAGCCATAGACTCTGGCTTTCTTTTCCCCAGGGTAGCCCGACTGTGGCAAGACTGTTTCCTGAGTAGAGACTGTCAAGGACACATTGCAGGTTGTATACCCCCTGGGGACTTAGAGACCCCACTGTCTGCAGTGGGCGGAACGTGCCCGCCCTTCAGCTTTTACTGGACCCCTGTCATCTGCAAACTCTGTGGACAGGCATCAAGAATCAAGGCCTGGCATTTTAAGGGGTGGGAGATGGGTGTCAGGAGTGCTGGGATGAAGACATTGAATCATCATCTTTGTCCTCCTCACCTTGAGCTCCCTTTTCTTTTCCTAGGTGCCCCCATTCTCCAGGTCTCCCCTGCCTCTTTCCACCTCTGCCACACACACCCCAATCCTGGGAACAGAAGCTACAATTAGAGTCTCTGGAGGGGCTGGAAAGCCACCTTTAAGTGTCATCAGTAGGGTGGGCGTAGGAACTCCAAGTGGGAGCAGATTGCTCTGGGGCCCACCCCATCTCCTGAGCACCCCAAGGAGCACCTGTGTATATCTGGGAATCGTGTCTTGGATTAGCACTTTTGTGGTCGGCACATCTCAGAGTCAAAGACAGCAGCTAGCAAGGCTAGCTGTTTAGGGCGCAGGAAGCAGGTGATAGGCGGGGAGCAGCGCTGGGCGCTGTCTGTCTGCTGGAGACAATACAGCTGCCCCATGGCACGTGGGGACCACATGCTGCACTTTTGTCCTGGTTGCCATTTTCTGTTCTTCATTGTGGGGGGCGTGGCCCTGGAGCCTGCTGCTTGCAGTGTGGCGCAGGTGAGAGCCGGCAGGATGGGAGTTTTCATGGATACCTGATATGGTGTCAAGCCCCTGCTCAGATGTTACCTTCCAAATGTTCTGGTACAGAATCCCACACGGGTGCAGGGCAGCTCCACTAAGCACAGGAGTGCTAATAGCGATAGAGGAAGAGACTATGTGCCCTTGAGAGATGAGGGAGGCGAGGAGTGTCCTGGTCAGTTGGTCAGAAGGTCTGGAGAGTGACTTGGCTCTTCCACTCAGTCCTGTGCCTCAGTGGGCAAGTCACTGCCCAGGCAGCCCTGGTTCAGTATTGATAACATCACGCAGCCTTCTGGCCTGTTGTCACAGGCATCAAAGGGATAGTGAGGAGTATACTGGGTGAATCCGTTGTTTCTGTACAGAATGGCTTTGGGTTCATGTGGAGGTTCTGCAGGCTTCAGGCAACACAACCATGCCTTTTAGCTTTCACACAAAAGGGCATTTTTTAATAATGCAATGTCAATGGCCTTTTTTTTTTTTTTTTTTTTTTGCACTCCAGACAGCAGGTCGAGGAGGCCTCTCTTCCTTCCCCAGAACTACACCTTCCTTCCAGGCACAGAGCCCTTGGGACCAGAGGCTTTGGGTCTGCTCCAGCGCCCAGGGTACCTGGTTCTGCAGTTTGGGCCAGACCTCCAGGTCTGTTCTGACCCAAATGTGAAGAGTTCTGATTATCCATCTGAAAGCAGTGATGTCATACTGCTGTTGCTGGGGAAACCTCACTGGCAGAGAACCTGTGGAAAAGGGCTTGCCAGTAAAATCTGGGAATGGCCGGATATGGAAACATCTGCCCATGTGTACCTGTGGCAGAGCTGTTGCCCATAAGCGCCTTTTATTTAGGGTAAAATTACTAAATCTATTCTGTTCCTCTAATCTGTGCTTGATACCGCCTTTAACCCTTCCGTGATTCTGGGGTTGCTTCAGACGTATTATTTAATAAATCCTTCATATCATTTGACCCTCCCCCCAGGATTCTATTTTGTTATTTTAAAGATTGAGGCTGTTTTAACCAGGGCAAAACCATTTACTTCCCATATTCATTTTGAAGGCTTGCTGTCCATGTGACACAGCTTTTTACATTTTCATGTAATAATAAAGATCTATTTTGAGTAAATGATGAGTATGTTTTAACAAACTTTCACACAGTAGTGAAACCTAAACTTATGTTAATATATGTAAAGAATGTTGTATCGCCATTTATATACTATGTATATATAAATTAAATGCGGTGGTTTCAGGAGTGGGAGAAGAATAAATCTAAGGTGCTTATTAACTTGTATTTGTGTGAACAATTATTATGAGTCGAGTCCATTTTTTTAGATGGTGTGATGTGGGTCTGGCATAATGGTGTGGAGAGAGAAATTCGGTGCCTCTTAGCCAGTGAAGTCTACACAGGGACAAAGTGTCGAATAGTCTGCATTCAGCTTCAAATCCTCAGACTCTGGAATACAACCTGGAGTCCAAAACGAGCGTGGCATAACCAGAGAATCAGTGCCAGCAGTGCCCTGGAGGTTGGGCGTCCTGCCTTCAGTGCAGGCTCTGCCCCTGCCCTGCCACACTGCCCTTGCCTTGCTCTGGGCTCCTATCTACACTGAGGTGATGAGGTTTTTCTCTCAGGACCAGCCCTGTCATGAAGTGGTCACTAGGTGGCGCAGCAGCCAGACACATCCTGGAGTTCGCAGCCAGGGGACTGCACTCTTGCAAAAGCCATTCCAGGGGGCCTCCCCGGTGGCGTAGCGGTTGAGCGCTGGGTTGCGAAGCTGCCCGCAGCCTCTGCAGCGCCGGTTCCATCCCCGGCTGCTCCCCGGCCACCGGAGGAGGGTCCCACATGGTGCGCAGACCTCTCCTGCCGCCTGCTGCTGCAGTGTGCTTCGGTCCTTCTGCCTGCTCTGCTCCCCGCTCTGGCTCTGGTGAATTCTCTCACCCTCCCGCGCTTCTGACTGTACCCAGTGCTTGTATAAATAAATAAAAATAAATCTTTAAAAAAAAAAAGAAGACTAATCGTTTAAAAAAAAAAAAAAAAAAGCCATTCCAGTCACAGCTGATAGAATTCCCAGAAAAGCAACAAATGCACCAACCCCTCCTGACCACATTCTAAACACAATGGGGGCATGGACACCCCAAGCCTCTCTGTAATCTGTCCTGAGTGCAAATCTTTTGGAAGCGGGCACAGACTTCCAAAATAAACACCTGGACTATTGACTTTTGGGATTTGGGAGCTGTCTTTAGATACCATCTAGTTCAACCCCTTTATCGCTCAGGCATAGAAATTGAGGCCTGTCCTATGGAGCCAGTGACAGGGTTGCCCAGAGTTCTGTCCTCTGGGCTGGGAACAAGGTGTTTGTATATCACTTGGCAGCACTCACAAAGAATAAAAGGGGATCTTGGCCCAGGAAGGGTCCTTTTTCTGCCAGGAGGGCTAGGTGCCAGTTCAAGCTGATGAATTGCCTTCTTTTTTCTTGGGCCCTCCCCCACCCCATTGGGGCCAGGTAGCAGCCAAGCACCCACGGTGCCCTCAGGGGAGTGAAGCTTGGAGGAGGCGCCTGCCTGGGTGCACCTGGTGGGGATGTGAGGTCTGGCTCCGCGGACTCAGTTCTAGGTTGCCCCTGGATGGGATGCGCAAGGTGAAATAAAAGTCATTAAATTTTGAGCACCTCGGAGAGTATCTTTGTGACCTGGGATGGAAGAGTGGTTTTCACTCCAACCAATCAACCACAGGCACAACCTTTCATGCAAAATGACTAATGGATTTGATCACAAATAAGGATTTCATGGGCAAAGCTAAAAGAATGGGGAGGAGATATTTTTCAATGTCTAACACCAATAAGAATGAACCGTACAAACAATTCCTATAAATCAGCAAGATAGTAACCTCAATAGAAAGACAGGCATTTTCCAGAAGAGAATCCCCCTCCAAAGATCGTTAAGTATAAGATGTTTAAAATTACTAAAAGCAGACAAATATGTTAAAACAGTAAGACACCACCTAATGCCTATTCCTTTGGCAAACCTTCGCTGACACTAAGTGTTTACAAGGAGAGGACATTGGACTTTGTGCATGAAAATCTGAAGAGTCATGCCACGGTTATGGGATGCATTGTGTCCTCCCAAAATTAATATGTTGAAGTGCTAACCCTCAGCCCGCCCCCATTACAATGTGATAGTAACTGAAGAATCTTCTTAAAGAAAAAGTTATAACATGTGAACTCCCCCGTTCTGTGAGCATAACTAACTTTAAAAGGGTTTTTAAAGAGGAAATGAAGGTAAAATAAAGTCATATAGATAGGTCAAAATCCAGTACGACAGGTGTCCTGATAAGAAGTATTCAGGACATAGATGCACACAGAGACCACAGGAACACCGAGAGACGATCCCCACTGACAAATCACCACGAGGCCCCATTTTGCAATCATCCCAAGCCAGGTAGGCTCACCATCAGTTCTAGAAATTTGAAGGAGAATTTTGGAGTCTTTGGCATCATTTTCACAGGTTCTGATGGTAAACAGAGGACATAAGCCAGTAGGGAGGCAGCAACTTGAGGCCCTTTCCCCAGAGTGTTGCCGCCCTTTTAGCCCCTGGCCTCCTAGGCACAGGTGTGCACCCTTGCACATGCGCACACACCTGTGCTCAGGTCTCCATAATCAGGCATGAGTGCCCCATAGTCACATGCCCTCTATATTAACAAGATCCAGGCCGCAGGTGATAGCCAGAGGCCAATGGCGTAAAAGCCTGATCGACTTCATTTACCCCAAGAGAAACCTAAGAGAAACCAACCCTAAGAGAAACCAACTCTGACAACACCTTGATCTCAATTTCCAACCTCCAGAACTGTGAGGAAATACATTTCTGTTATTTAAGCCTCCCGTCTGTGGTACTTTGTTATGGTGGCCCTGACAATTTCCTCCAGTTACTTCCCGAATTTACCCACGAGTGTGCATACCTCATGATGTGGAAGCTTCAGTCCTGGTTATATCCCTGGGGAATTCTTGCACAGGCCCCTTAGGGGACAGATGTGAAGTGAATGTTTACTGAGGCATCGTCTGTGGTGATGGAGAGCAGTGTGGTGTCCATGCTGGGACTGACCTCGAGCCCTGGCTGCAGGCACAAGCAGCAGATGAAATGTGGCAGCGTGGGCGGATCTTCACAACAGAACTGGGTGGAAAATGCATTTATGAGATTGGAAGTACATGTCTGCAGAATATTTTGTAAAAATATATTGGTTGTCTACAAGGGCTGGGAGCGTGGAGTTGGCATATGGAGATAGTGACTTTGAATTTAAAAGGGGGGGGGCAGCTTGCTAGAGTCAGTAGTCAGGCCTGAGAGCCCTGGGGGAATCAGAAGGGGGCACAGTGCCCCTGGAAAACTTGCCCAGGAGTGACCAGCTCTGACTGGACTTAAGGAGGCCAGAGAGGCCTGCCTTGGAGGGCTCTACAGCCTCACAAGCTGCCATTGTTTGAGCTTCCAGGGCTTCTCTGGTGGGCAAGGGGGGCGGTGGGGACTGCAGCCAAGGACAGGGGCTGGCTGTATTGGTCAGGGAGGGCTTTTGGGACCCATGGGGGAGGGGGGAGTACAAAGAGGGATCCAGAGGGGAAAGCGGGCTGGTAGGAGCCTGCTCTGGCCACTAGGGACTCTCCCTTCCACATTCAGGCTGCCTGACCAGTAGTTTCCTGGCGGAGACTCTTTCCCACAGGAGGCGCTCAGCTGATGGGCTCTCACGAGGACAAGGAACACAGCTGCTGGGGAACAGAGGTGCCCCCCAGGATAGGCCTCACTTCCATCCCAGAAATAACCTGTTCTAGTCACCAAGCAGACAGTGTGAGCCTGGAGAAGTGAAGCTAGAGGGGCTGAAGGTGACCAGGACCACCCTGCCCTGAGGGGTTGTTCCAGGCACATTTCCTGAGGCCCCAGGGGTCAGAGCAAGGGCCAGGACAAGGAACACAGGGCCAGCGTGAGAGTGCACTTTCTCACAGAGCTGTCCAACAGAGCTCAGGGAGGTCATGAGCGTTCTGCAGTGAAGGTGTGCAAGCAGAAAGGAGTGGTGTCAGATGGGACCCTGGCACACACAGCCCCTGTCTCAAAGACCCTGTCTCAAACTGGATGCTGCTGTCCCCAGGGGATGTTTGCCTATCTCCTGGGGTGCCTCCTATTGTGTCCATCCTGTGGGGTGAGCCAGACGCCAGTTGCAGGAAACAGCCTGTGCCAGCATCCATTTGAAGAGTAAATATTAGTCTTTTCAAGAGTGCCTGTTCTCTGTCACTCAGCACCGAGGCCTCTGCGCCAGGGGTGGGGGGGTGGGGCCCTCTTGGTCCCCACACCCAAATGGAGTCTGTGGACCCAAGCTCTGCTACAACAGAAGGCCCCAGAAACAAGCCTCCCGTGTGCAGGCAGGCATCCCCTCCTAGTCACTGGCAAGCCAGAAGCACCTGAGTCTTTTCTTACCTGTGGGAGAGTCGAAAGACACCTGCTCGAGCCCGGTCCCTGACTCTCCTGAAATTGTTTTTCCCAAAGCGACTCCACCAGCTAGAGCCTGAGGGAGGGTGGAGGAGAGTGAGGCCATCTCAAGGAGAGGAAGGTAGGACGGAGGGGAAGAGGAAAGCCCCCTGTAACTAGAGAGCGGTGGGGAGGTATAGGGTAAATGAAAATTATCAGGATTTTCTACCCTCCCGCCATTAGCATTAATGACAGACCCCTGCGGTCCTACACATGTGCCTAATGGCAGGCACCTGGAGTAGGTGTGGGCGCATGGGTGGGCGCACCTGGGCTGAGACTGGGGTTATAAGAGTGGTGTCACAGGGATGACAGTAGAGTAGGAGAAACAGCAACAGCAGCAGCGGTAGAACAAGAGCAGAACCAGCAGAGGAGCAAAGAAGAAGCAGAGAAGCAGAGACTAGAGAGAAGGCCAGAAAGCCCAGGAAGAGTGAAGATTTGCTGGGGGCTGGGAGACCTGCTGGTTCCCCTGCCTGCCATGTACCTACTGCTGCACTACATTTGATGTAAAAAGCTCAATAAAAGCCTGAAAAAGCCACTGAGGACTCCAGAATGCTCCTTGACCGGTCTGCCTGGATCATAGAGAATGTGCTCTGTGCCTTGCTGATACTACAGGAGGGGAGGTGAAGAATCTATCAGACATGTGTCCTGTTCTCACCCTCTGGAATGAGGTCCTGAGGGTGCAGAAGTTGAAAGTTGGACATAGAGGGGCCACTGTGCCCATTAGAAGACCCTGCTAGAGTGGTGTTGTGGATTTGATGGCCTGAGTAGCACCACCAAGCCTCCCTCAGCTCCCAGAGACCTGGAAGGAATCCAGGAGTTCCTGTGTGCTCCGTGGGGCATGAGGAAGGCAGCTGAGTTGGAGCTGATGGGCCTGACATGGCACTGCCATGGCTAGTGGTGAGATGAGCCCACCACAGGTGCCAGGACACATCATAGCCAGGGCTGGATGGACACAGGACTGAGACTGGAGTGTCTGAGGGGCCAGAGTGAGTCAATGTGGAGCTGGTCGGCCAGGGCAGGGCTGAGGGCCCCAGCCAAGAGGATGGGTCATCCCAGCCACAGACTTCAGCTGTAGTGGCCATTTTGAGTGTTCATGGAGACCCTAGTTCAGGGAACAGCACAAGGCCTTTGTGTGAGGCTCCTTGTCAGTTGTACACCAGACAGCGCTTTCTCTGGAGTTCTTCTGACCCGCAGTATGGGACACAAGAACCCATTGGACACACACTTGCCACCCCTGGAAGTGTGAGGGATTTGACACTGGCAACCCTTGAGCAGTAGGTGCTGGGGCCAGCGGTTATCCTGTCCTGTGCCTTGGGAGGACGGGTCTGAGGCATGTCCTGTCAGCTCCTCAGAAGATTCCTGGAAGAATGAGTTGCAGCTCATTCCTGAGCTCCTGCTCACACTGAGCAGGGAACAGCTCGTTACCCCTCCTGTGTTGGTTTCGCCATTTCTCTGTTTCGTACTTCCTGGCTACCAGCTCCTGTTTCCTGGTCACAAGGTTTGTCTCAGGCCACCTGCTGAGGACCAGGTTACAAGCCACCTGAAGCCCTGTGCTAGAAATTAATTCTTGCCACTGGGCATCCTCGTTGGCCCCTTCCTTATTCCGCTGAGTTGAGGGGTTGGAAGGTTAACCACTACCTTTCCCATATCTATTGCTGCTGGGGATCTGGATGTTACTTAGGCTTTGCCAGAAGGGACCAGTGCATGGAGCAGGAGAAGGAGAGGCCATTCCCCTGCAGTGTGGTGGCTGATGGTGGGATCTGGTTTATGTGGCAGCAGGTGGCCGTTGGGGTGATGTGACCATGCGGATAGAGGTGTGCCCCAATATTCATTCCTTCAAGCCTTTCTTCCTTTAAATTCCTACATTAAATCTCTTTCTACACAGAATACCTAGAGCGTTTCCATTTTCTGCATGGAACCTCCCTCCACAACCTCCATACCACCTCTCTAGCAGCATCTTCTAATGGGCATGGTGGCCCTTCTATGTCCAACTTTCAACTTCTGCACCCTCAGGACCTCATTCCAGAGAGTGAGAACAGGACACATGTCTGATAGATTCTTCCCCTCCCCTCCTATCTCAGCCTTCCCTTCTGGAAGGCTGGTCTCTCTCGCAGGCAGGGCTGTGACTTAAGAGAGTGTGCAGAAGATGAGCTCCGTGTTAGCTATCTTCCCAGATGAAAGGAGATACACAGGAAACATTCTCCTCCCTGCCAGTGGATGGGATTCTGTGTGAGTGTGATGCCTGGGGCGGTGGCAGCCATCTTGCAATCCTGAGGGGCTAAGTCAATAGACAAAAGTCATCACATTGAGGATGGCATTGTCCTACTGAAAGGACGATGTAGGTCCATGTTGACTTCGTTGAGCCACTAAATTCAACTAGAAGCTGTCTATTTTTAGTTGGCATCACCTTGGCAGGATCTCTTTCCTCTGAGCCATATGGAAGCTGGCTCTGAGCCCTTCAAGTTTTTTCCAGGCTGCCTGCTGGGACCCAAGGCTGCTGGGACTGGAGACTAGCCTGGGACTAGTGCGAGGCAAGGGAGGTACTCACCTTGGGTGCAAAATTTAAGGCGGTGACAAAAACTTGTTAATCAGAATAAACAATATTTTAATGTATGATTTTAGAAAGGTAAAATGACTGCAAAAAATAATGAACAAAATATCAAGATTATGGGCCTCCCTGGTGGCGCAAGGGGTTAAGACACAACTTATGAAGCTGTCCGCAGCCACTGCAGCACAAGTTCGATCCCCTGGACAGCGAGGGAGAAACCCACATGGCACAGCAAACCTCTCCTCACTCGCCCACTGTTCCCCTCAGCAGTGTATTTCAGTCAGTCTGCCTGTTCTGTTCCCCACTCTGTCTCTGGTGAATCCTCTCACCCCACACATCCCTGGCCTAAACTCCAGCTCTTGTATGCATAAATAAATAAATCTTTTAAAAATATATCAAGATTGTTTAAATAAAGAGGCAAAATAATTGACTTTGCCAATCTCATTCGTGACAGTTCACATACACAGGCAAGTCTCTGAGAGCTGGGTTTAAGGCCAGATTCTACCAATAACTTGCTGGAGATCCCAATCAAGTCCCTTTCCTTTTCTGGACACTGGTTACCCCATCTTGTCCTGCATGGGGGCTGGGGCATTGCCAGGATGGCCTTTTCCGATCTGTCCTCCTCATCCCACAGCTGGCCAAGGCTACTATCCCTCTCCCTGGGAGGCTGTGTCTCCAGGGCCATTGACTCCTGGCTATTAATATCTCAGCCATCCCTGGCCTGATCAGGGTGTTTAATGACTGCCAGCTGTGGCTCTGGCCCCTTCCCCAGGGAGAGATAAGAGCAGTTCCTGTTCCCACATGGGGGGAGGTGGGAGTGGGGGATGGCCGCAGCTCATTAAAACAGGCCCTGGGTGAGTGGAGGGAATGGAGGGGCTGAAACAGATGCCTAACCCCACCCTGGCCCAGCCCATGGGGCTTCCCTGGTTTCCCTACCCCATCTGGACCCTGTCATTTAGGTCCTGATTCTCAGAGCCTTGGGGCCTCTTCCCAGAAGTTTCTCAGACATTTCACTCAGCATGTCCCAAACCAAGTCATCATCTCCCCAAAACACTCTCCTCCTTTTTTACTCTATATCTGGGGTCACAGCAGGGTCAGGGCCAGGGACACGGTGCCAGAGTAGGCATGGGTCTAAGGGCACAGTCAGTTCTCCTTGATTCCTGGTGTCCCTGGTCTCACCAATCCTGGGTCCTCACCACCTCCTCCATATTTTATCTAGATCTGAAAGGGAGCTAGGAAAGAGACCTAACTTCTGTGCCACCTGGTCTGCTAGAGAAGGTCTACCCCCAGGTTTGGGGGTCTCAGGGGCCAACTTTGGCTAATTACTAAAGTGCCCACCAGGTGGCGATAGAGATGAGCTGATCTGGCTTGACAATGGCTCCATAAAGCAGGAGGGGGTACTGGGAGCTGAAGGGAAGAAGGGGTGCAGGAGAAATTCAGCTCGTGGTTACCCCCACCCCATAGGCAGCCTGGGATCTCTGCCTGTGACTCCTGCCCTCCCAAGGCAGTGCTTTGGCTTTTCCCATTCCTGGATATGTACCCTGGACTTTCCACCTCAGGGCAGGGCCCCTCCCTGTCCTCCCTTTTCTTGTCCAAGTCTTGGATCACTCTTGTTCCACTCACTTCCCACCCTCATGGCTGGTGACTCTGCTCTCTCCCCAGCCTTCTCTCCTCACCCTGAAGCCATGACTCATGAGTGGTAGAATTTCAGGCTCTGTGCTAAATGGTCAGGTCCAGCTTAGTCAGGGCTCTACATGTGGACTTCACATAGGCAAGGAAGCCTGTGGGGACCCTGACATGGAAAGTGGGTGCTTCCCTTTCCTCTGCAGACACCTTGCTTCTAGGATCTATGGTCAACCCGTTTATTTCCCCTTGTGCCATCCCCATCTTGTACCAGCTTGAGCTCATCTCTCAGTTCTTTGCATAGGCTCTGCATATCACCTGGACCTCTAGACTTCTTGGGGCTCCCCTCTCTAGCTGCTGTCCTCTGCCAAAGCCCAGGGGACAGAGTGGGTAGAAGACTCTGGGCAGTCCCTTTCCTCATTAGCCACCCATATTTTAGTCAGGGACTAAACGAGGCAACCTATCACCCTCCCCTCTTGTGCAGGGGGAGAAAATGAGGTCCAGAAAGGGACAGGGACCTGCTCATGATCCCAGAAAAAGTCTGAAGCAGAATGGGAACTGAAAATCTGGCACTGGGTCTTCTGGACCTTACTGAGGAATATGGCAGTGGACAAGGCCTCTGGGTACAATTCAGCAAGGCACTGAGTTGGGAGGGGGGCGAGGGCAGTGAGAGAGGGAGTGCCATGCCCCAGCTGGTGAGAGGAGCATTGCCTATTCCCTGTCTATCATCCTCCATGCCTTGTAATACTAGGGATATGAGGCTATCAGGGAATCCCACCAGCACCACTAGCACGGTTGGCCTGGGCAGGGTAGGGAAGGGAGAAGGGGCATTCTCTGCCAGACCTGGGAAGTCTGGAGTCAAGGGCCACCTCCTTCTCTGTCTGACAGCTGACCAAGCCCAGGGCATGGCTTGGCTGGAGCATGGCTCTGGATGGAGAGTCCCCTCACCTGGGTATGCTGGACCACTGACTAAAGGGTATTTGCCCAGGATTGCCCCTGCTCCTGTTCACCTTTTGCCCCAGGACCACCCTTGACTCAGGTCCTCTGCAGGGTGCTAGATTAGAGCTGTCCTTGGTGATGGGTCCTGAAATGGTACTGAGTCAGATAGGCTCTGGAAGGACCCATGCAAGCAGATCCAAGCCTTTGCTAGTCCATTCTGGCCTCTTTTTTTCCCAGTTTGGCATCCATCTCCTGCTCCTGCAGCAAGAAAACCTCCTTGCAAGTTTGCAAAAAGTTGAACCCAAAGAGGTCAGCTCAGGCAATGGTTTTGGAGACATCTCTTATGACTGACGTCATCTTCTTCACCCTACTGCCCCTGTGTCTAAACCTTTCCATTGGTCAATTGTCTCTGCTCACTTGCTTGTTTGGGTGGTGTTTGCACTGTCCTCTCTGTCTCCTCTTGGCTGAACCCTGGGCAACGGAAACACGATCATCTCAGAGCCTGTGTGTTCCTTGTCCCCAGGAGTGGCTGGGGCCTCTGAGATGTCCCTCTAAACCACCTCTGAGACCTTGGACAGCTCTGTCAGCTTTTTTTTTTTGGTTGATCCAAAAATAGAGCTATCTCCTCTTGGCTATCTCTAGATTCAGGGGGTGACAACCTGGTATAACTCCATCATGCTCAGAAGAGAGAAGATATCACTCAACCAGATGTGACTCAAGGGCCCTTAGAATTACGTGTTCCTCACGTGGAAATGCAGGTTTCCCAAGGTGGGTAGGAAAGCATCCAGCTTCAGTGATATTTGGACTATGCCTCTTTGCAATGGTCAGGATGATCCCAACTTGCAAACTGTTCCCCATTTTTGGCCACACAGGAACATCAAGCACCAATGAAACCAAGCTCATTCAACCCAGCATTTATTGTTGCACAAGCCTATTTGCAGTTCTGGTGGTGGCGCAGGTTGGAAGCTGTGTGGTCATGGGGGTGCAGGGCAGACACAGGATGCTATGACCACAGCCTGAGGCCCAGCTGATGGTGGGCTGGAGGACTGGTCGGCCACGCTCCAGGGAGGGTGGATGGGGATAGTGGTAATAACAGTATCAGTGGTGATCATATAACCAAGAGGATCATTTGTGACAACGTACAAAAGGCAGTGAAGTGTCTGTGCTTTCACCTTCCCATCAATCAGACCTGAGTTCAAATCCTGCCTGTGTAACAAGGCCAGGTCCCTGCTGTCTGTGAAACTAGGTTTCCTGATTTGTGAAATAGAAACAGTGGTTCCCATCTTGCTGGGCTGATGTGGGGACTGAGAGGCCCACAAGCGCACATCTGAGTCTGTTCTAGTAGCTGGCATAGACGTGGGCCGTCAGGGGAAGAGGAGGGCTGACGCTCTCTCCCTCATTGTCTCATTCTTCTGGGGACTTGGGCTCGGACCCCAAATACCATCCTGCTCCTCTTTAGTGGAGACTATGAAGACGCCTATGCTTCCCAAACCAAAACTCCATATCACAACCACACCTGCCTGAGGCAGAGAAACTCATTTACCCAAAAGAACTGGCAGCTAAGAGGACACTGGGGGAGGTGACTGTGTCTTCAGAGAGACACCCGCCTCAGTGGCACTGTTCAACCCAAAGAAACTTGACAATGAAGGTGCAATTTCAGGCACTGTTGGGGTGGCGGCGGCAAGTTCTTTGTCCCCTCAGATCACACTCTGTTCCCACAAGCACTGTTGGAAGAGGGGTCATGGCCTTCCTTCGATGGGTCAGGAGAGATACCAGGGGGCAGAGTCAGGCGAGTGTGCAGGTTTCTTGGCCTTTGGGAAAGGTGTCTGATGACCGGCTTCCACCCCACATCTTCCAGGGCAGGAGCTCCCAGCGCTCCAGCGTGCTGAGAACACGCTCATCCTTGCTCCCTGCTCTCCTCAGGCGGCACAGGAGCAATGTCTTCAGGGCTTCTGGGCAGTGACCTGGGGGCTGGTATCCTCCAAGCAGAGGTCTGGGGCTGGCCATGCCCAGGCAGGCCTGTGGCCCCCCAGTGCAGCTCAAGGCAGGTGGGTGCGGGCAGAAGGGGCCTTCCAGGGCTCCTGCGGGTCAGATCAGGGAGACTTCGGCCTGGAAGCTGGAAGAGCGGCGGGCGCCAGGGCTGACGCGAGTCAGCATAGAAACCTGGGTGCTGCACGTGACCCCATTGCTGCCTCCCAATGGGTGGTGGTATTTGGGGTCCAAGCCCAGGACGCCCTGCAAGTGCCAGCGCCGCCACTTCCGCCGCAACTCTGCCTGAACCTGGGAGGAGGGACAGTGTCAGGTGCGCCCCTGCAGAGCCCTGTCCACTGCTGATTGAACTGCTTTCCCTTCCGTCTAAATTGAGAGACCTGATGCTACCTGGGCCAGGCAGAGTTGATACCCATAGGGGCAAAGGTCAATTCAAGTCATTGGAGTGGGTGGAGGTGGGAGGCAGAGAGGACCCAGGAGCAGGGGGTGGGGGGGAGTGTAAGGGGGGTGGCTAGAGAGGACACTCCCTGAAGGTGGCTGCAGTCCCTTCTTTTGTTTCCTACCCTTCAGCTCACTTGAGCTTATCCAAGTGGGCTTTTGTGGTTTGTGCCCAAGACACCACAGTTACTCAGCCTTGCTGCCGTCACCCTCCCCAGGGGCTCTACACAACCACTTCACAGACTTGGACATGCTCCCGCATTCCTTGGGGGATTGCCTGAAAATGTAAATCCTAAGCAGATGGGGGTGGGTCAGGAAATTAGCATTTTTAGCAGGGTCCTATCCTAGGCACTGCTAACCTACTGGTCTGAGGACCACACCTGCATAGCAAGGTTTATCTGTCCTTGCTCTGCTTCTGGACCCCAGAACCATATGAGTTCTGCGTTCTGCCCCCACCCTGGGGTCCGGCAGAGACTTACCTCCCCATTGAGAAAGCAGTAGAGGATCGCCACCACAAAGCCCTGGGAGGGAGGGAGCAGAAGAGGTGAGCGACATACCCCAGGAGCCCTCAGGCCTGCCCCACTGCTGGCCCCAACCCCAGTGTTCCCCAGATTATGCAAAGGGCTAAGCACATAGCAAGTGCTTAACACTCAGTACAATGAAAAGATTAGAATACATTCAAAAGAGACACTTCTCCAGGTGGAATTCCCTTAAAGGCCAGAAGACCAGTTAAGTCAATGGTGCGGTGCATACCTGGAAAGAGCCCAGGACGAGCTCAAAGGCCAGTCTCACTTCGGCCTTGAAGTTGTCGGGAAAGAAGGCGAACATGATGTAGTGTACTCCAAACAGGGGGATCAGCAGAAGGGTGGACTTGGCCAGCCTCCTGGGGACAGAGGAGAGCAGGCAGTGGGTATGTGTATCCACACGTGTGGATAGATAGGGCCTGCCAGGGGGACCGCGAGGGGCGCAGGAGAAGGGCCAGTGACCAGGAAGTGAGGATGGACTGTGCTATTTTAGAAACAACACATCCACACCTGGTCCTCGCCCCTGTCTTCAGTGCACTTGAGTCCTTCTGCCCAGGAGGAAGCATGAAAGAGAAGCCCCTATTCTCACCCTTCCAGAGGACAGAGTATAATGGAAGGCCAGTGCTGAACCCAGAGGATGAAGCCTAATGATGGTATTTCAGGCTCTGTGGCAGCTAATGGGGAGATGTTCCCAGGCACCAGAAGACCCTGTTTTTTCCCTCTCCTGGTCTCAGTTTCCCCAGTCTGTATAATGGGGTAAATATATACTTGGTCAAATTACAAAAACGGAGCCCACTGTATACTCAGAGATGTGTGGGGTGCTATAAAGTTCAGTGCATCAATAGGAGACTGAGAATGAGGAACTTTGTAGTTGGGATGCTGACCACACATGCCCGAGGCCCCTTGGAAGGTTGGTGGGTGCTCGACTTTGTGCCTGTTCATCCATCACCAAGATGTCAGCGAGTACAGACCTCTGTTTTTGGCTTCTCCACTTCTTCGGGATTTGCCACCTTTTCTGGAATGGCTTCCCTCTCCCCCCACCTCCCCATACCAGGACATATGCTGCCACCCTGCTCTTAGGGCAACGTCCATATCTCTCTGAATGATTGTCCCTGTCCCATGGAGCAGGGCTTATCCTGGTTCAGCACCCCGAACCCCCTAACTGGTCCAGGCGGTGTCAGCCCAGGTTCCCTGGCTGGGGGAATGGTGGGGGGGAGGGAGGGTCTCTGCCTCTCTCTCTCCCACATTGGCAGCCAGTTCTGCAAAGTGAAGCCCTGAGCCTGAGGGCCCTGACCCTCTCACTCCTTCCTGGTCTCAGTTCCCAGTCACACCAAGATCCTGAGCACGACCTGCCCCGCTCCGCCTGCAAACCTACCCCACATGCCGAGGCAGACAGATGGAGGCTTTCTTTAAGTTGAAGGCTTATGGAGAGGTGGAGAGTGGGAGCTGGCAGCCCCTCCATGGGGGCTCCATCTCCACTCTGCCCACCCTTTCTGCCTGCTAACAGCTGTGCAGCTTCCATCTCACCCACACGGACCTGGTGATGACCAGCTGTCTTTGCCTCTGATTCAAGATCTTTTGAGTGTACCTTGGGGAAAACAAGGCCCCACAGGCAGAGGAGAGGGTGCACAGGCCTGATGTGTACTCCTCAGCAGACTGCAGGCTGCAGACCCCCGCAGAGCCTTCCCTCCTCAGACAGGAAGGGAAGCTCTGCCTACACACCCAGTGGGAGAGAAAGCTGCCACACCAGGAACGTGAGCCTTAGTCTCATCAGAGAGAATCACAGGATTCCAGAATAGAATCCTAAATCCAGCTCCTGACATTCTAGCCAGAAATCTTAGAACTCCCCAAAGAGAAGCCAGGCCAGGAAGAACATTCTAGAATCCCAGGACTGGAAGGCCCTATGGGACATCCCAGGTTTGTCTTGTCTATGCAACACTGATAACTTCCTGTTCCCATCTGTGGGCATGCAGACCCCCTACTCCCTTCCCTCGGCCACCCTTTTAAAAATGTTTCTTTAGTTCTATCTTTGAGCATTGTTGTTCTCACAAAAACCTGCCTGGTTTTCCATGCTCTCAAGCATCGGGAACAGTCCTCGCACATTTCTAAACAAGGGGCATGATCAATGTCCCACGGACACTGTGCTCTGCCTCTGCCATGGCCACGTGCTCCCCAAACCTTGGGGAGAAGGGATTGTCCGTCAGTTTTGTCATCTGTAAAATGGGGGCAATTTATAGGAGGCTGTGTAAATGAAATAAGAGGATACATGCACCCCCTTAGGAAAACCCTCTATCACACACCTGCAGCTGTTATTACTGGGGAGGACTGAGCCCTGAAGATGGCCATCTTATTGAGGACTGGGGGTTCCCCAGGGCATTCACCTACTGTGCATTTATTGTGCCCCTTTTCTACGCCAGGCACATGCGAGGGACTGGGCACATGGTGTGAACAAGACATGGGTTATCGGACACGGGTTATCTACTGTCTTCTTTAGCTTCCTGGCTTGGCAGCAGGTACACACCTGGGTCTGATCACCTGCCAGGTGGGTGACCGCGGAGAAGCAGACCTGGGCCTGAGGGCAGTCTGCTGAGGGCGAGGCCCGACACTTGTGCACTGAGCCCCACCATGGGGGTGGAGGTGGGTTAGAGCAAGATATCTTTTTGGTGACTCTGGAGGCTCAAGGAGATGTGGGATATTTTAAGGACTGTGGGTGGAGGTCATAGGGGGCCAGGGCATTGGGCCCACACTCACGAGTACGGGCTGCTGTCACTCTTCCCGACATCTGGGGGTCGAAGTTTCTGAACAAGGATTCGGATGATGCAAATGAACAGGATGAAGTTCACCTGGTGAGTAGAGCCCAAGGTCGGGGGGTCAGAGAGGGGAGCCTGGGCCTCCAGCCTGGGCCTCTCATCTTCCTTAGGACCCTGCTTCCCCTCCATCTTTTCTCTCCCCTAGCTCTTCCCTCTTTGGGCAGGTCTTCAGGAAACTATTTCATACCCCTAAAGACTGAGCATCCCAATCTGCTTTCTCTGCTCTACAGGAAGAACTGGGGGATAGGAGTAGAAAGGATGGCGACAATCCTGCTTTAGGTTTTTGGGAAGCCAAGGTTTCAGTTCTGACCTAGACACAGATCTCCTGTGTGACCACAGGTGAGGTGACTCTTCAATCTGGGCCTCAGTTTCCCCATCTCTAAGTGTGGGAGGGAGCCTTACCAAGATGGAGGTGAGAATAGGGCCCTTTATGATCCACCATAATGGAGAGTCGATGGTGTCCCAGCATCTGGGCAGGGGAGGGTGGGGGAGAAGGAGAGAGGTTGTCCTCAGCCACAGAGAGAGCCAGCAGTCCTTGAGGTTGTCCCTGGCTCTGCCCCTGAGCCCTTTAGAGATCACAGGCCCAGAGTCTGTGGTTCCCAGTTCCCCCTCATCCTACCCTGGGGATCTGCCCCAAGTGATGGTAGCCAGAGGAAGGGGGTGGGGTGAGAGCTCACCCAAAATTCTCCAAATAGATCCTGACGATTGTCCAGATCATGGTGAATGTGCTGGGCACCCCTGTCAGGGCCAAAAGAGAGAAAAAGAAAGAAGGGCATAGAAGGGGGGGATGGGGGACATAAGGGAAAGATTGAGGAGAAAGAATCAGAGAGAAGGAAGGAGAGAGAAAAGGGGGGGTGGTGTTTCCAGAGCTGCAATCCTACAGTAGCATAAACTGTTCACTGTGCAAAGATGCTGCACCGAGGGAGTGAACCCGATGCCTGAGAATCTCTGTCCACCTAAAGGGAGAATCTTTTTCTATGGAGGCACTTTATAGACTAGCAGTGGCCTTGTGGGTTTCAAGGGCTGAAGGGGGAGGACTTTTATGGACCTTGACTGTCTCCCACTCATCAGCCCTAGGTGCAGCCATTGTCCAAGGACACCTGCCCTGGGCCAGACATGTGGGAGGTGTTGCCAAACCTTGGCCGGGAGCCTTGCAGGTAGGATCTGCAGCCCGGCAGGACCTCAAATGGTAGGCTGCCTTGCCATCCTCCCCCAGTGAGCTCCCCAGGCATCATCCCCTCTAACCCCAGCTTGGCAGCCCTCCCTGGTACCATACCCCAGCCGATGAGTATGTACCCCCAGAAGTACTTCCGCTCGGAGAAGAAGGAGACGGCCAGCAGGGTGTACAGGTAGAGGCCCTCCACCAGCAACCAGAAGAAGTTGGCCATGACACAGTACTGGAATAAGACCACAGCTGCCTTACAGCCCACCTGCAGAGGGTGGAACAGAGAGGACTCACTAGGGCTACCCGGAGTTCCTGCTGGCCCACGTGTCTATCTGGGGTGACATAGTTGCAGTACAGCTGACTTAATCACTTTGTTGTTTTTGCATTATCCCCTTTGAAAATACTCAGTGATTTTCCTATTCTCCCTGACTTTAGATCATCTGATACTTGTTTTTTTAAATTACAGACTCATCGATTTATTATCTGTTCATCTTCCTATCTATATTTCTATCCACCCCACTACTCATCCAATCATCCACCCACCGACCTACCCATTTATCCATTATTTACCCACCCATCCACTAGACATCCACTGCCTACACTCCCATTTTCTATCTGCCATCCGTGCATCTCTACCTAGGCATCTTCCCAGCCTGCTCACCCTCATTTACCTCTCCATTCATCTGTCCACCTACCTAGACCACATCCACTACAAGCCATTCATCTAGCTCAATCCGTGTGTTCATCTACCCACCCATCCATCAATCTGTTCCGCCATCCATCCACCTACCCTCTCGCCATCATTTATCCCATTTTTCTTACTTTATCCATCTGTACTTCTACCTACTCAGTCACCCAAATGTCTGTTTACTCAGCCACCCGTCTACCTACCCATCCACTTAACCCCTTTCTCCCACATCTACTCATTCATCTTCCAATTAGGATAGAAGGTAGCTGGAGGAGGCATATGTGAGAAATCCTGCCTGAGTGTGCAAAAGTCCCCCGAATGTGTGGGGATGTAGGGCATGGAGGGAGGCCCAGATGGAAATGTTAAGGAGAGATGAGGACTGAGAGATGAGGAGGGGAGGTGGAAATGAGGAACAAGAGGAGGAGGGAGGACAACTCATTCTGGGGGCTCGAGGAAGAATGGGTATCAGGGAGATGAGGACAATGGAGGAGTCATGGGGTCCCCTGAGCAGGGCAATTGGGATTCTGGGTTGCCCATCTGGCCTAATTAGAATTGAGCCAAGAAGCTTGTGAGCCAGAACTTAGAACCACCACCCTCCTCCAGGAAGCCCTCGAGCTTCCACACCTCACTGTACTCACAACCTGGGTTCCCACCCTTCCTTCCTGTGCCCTTGGCTTTGAGACATCCTCAGAGAACAGCCTGTCCTCTTCTGCCTTTGGCTGAAAAGCCCTTCCACAGGCTGCATTCGGTGCCTACAGCTACAGGCTGCCTACTTCTCCCTTCCCCCCATTTGCTTTATAACAAGAATAATTCTGCTCTTTAACAGGACGATTATTTGTGCTTCTCTTAGACAAGTTTCGCAGAGCTGCTAATGAATGGGGAAGGCAGTCTCCACAATTATCCTTAACAAGTGCATTGGAGGCCCAGGCTCCAGCCTGCTCCTCAAGCTCCAGTGCATGCCCCGCTGTCTGACTCTGGACTGGATCTGCTGAGGGGCTCTGAATGGTCAAGGTGGCTCCTTGGGACTCTCCCTCCCCCTCGTCGAGATACCTGAGATTTTGCCATTAGAGGTTCATTCTTTGGGAAGCAGGTCCTGCAGACCCCTGAGATGGTGATAAGCTTCTGGGGTTACTGAGGAAGCCATGAGTCACTCACCCCAAGGAATAGGTGGGAGTCAGGGCTGGTTTCCAGCTCTCTATCCTAGCTGGGGGGGGCCTTTTAACCTCCACTTCCTAGGAAGGCCCAGAACTAGGCTGATGAACTGGAGGACTGTGTGAGTTTGGATGGCAAGTAGGGGCAGCGGGAAGGGCGGCGTGGTGAGGAACCCTGGCACACAGAGAGCAGAGGGGAGAATTGGAAGGGATCTTGGAAGTCCCGCACAGATGGGGAGACAGGCAGGAAGTTCCCTAGGGGCACGTGGGACATCAGCAACAGGGATGAGATGGGGCTCTGGGCTCAGCCACCAAGGGTTCCGTTGTTTCCCATGGAGGAGGGGAGTTCTCATCGGCAGGAGCAGATCTGTGCGCTCCCACAGGGCTGAGCATCGTCTCGTGTTGCTGACAGGACAGAGGGGTTCAGGGGTTGCCAGGTGGGGTTGGAAGGAGGCTTGGTCATCCTTCCAGAGAGAGGGAAGAAGAGAGGAGGGGAAGCAGGGAGAAGGCGGAGAGGAGATGAGCAGGGGGGAGGTGGGGGGCCCTCACCGAGCCCTCGCAGTGGTCTGACTCCCCGCTGTCGAAGAGGGCCAGGTCTTTGATGAAGACGGCGATGGCCCTCAGGATGAAGGACATGAAGAGGTGCATGTGGATGTAGTTCCTCGTGCAGCGCAGCTTCCTGCTGGGGCAGGCGGTTCTGGGAGGCCGAAGGGCCCTTGGACCCGCACCCCCCACCAACTCTGCCTGGTGCTCTGAGCAAGGGTAGGGTGGGGAGAACATGTGGCCTCTGTCGTGAACCCTGTCCCCTAGGGGAGCCCTGCCCCAGGTGCCCCATCTCCATGTGCAGCCTGGCCCTCGAGCCTCGAGGGCCTCATTCCATCCCTGCTATCCCCCACCCCCCCTCCTCACTGCAGGGTCATCCTGTGGGGGTGACTGACAGGCAGGACACTTTGAGCAGCCTGTCATCTCCAGGGGAGGCTGGCCTGGCAAGGGGGCTGGGGCCGGGACTCTGTGCAGCCTGGGGGGTGACCTGGCCTGGGCTGGCTCCACCACGGTGGTGAACCGGCTCAGTCTTTTTGAGGCCCGTTGTGGGGGCTGGATCTCACCTGAACAGACTCAGGATGGCAGTGGCAACCAGGAGGGCAGCGAGAGACAGGCTGTAGCCGATGGTGTAGCCGGTCTTCACAGAACTGTAGAACACTGTCTGCTGCTGCTAGAGGGAGGTGGTTGAAGATCTTGGCTGGGGGCAGATGAGCTCACCTAGGGGTGTTTGCGGGTGCCCTTTTCCCCTTGTCATGGCAGATGAGGAGGTGGAGTCCAGGGCTCCCCAGAGCAGCTGAATGGCCCCCTATAGTCCCCAGACCTAGCCTCAGTTTCCACAGACAGCACAGAACTTCTCTCCAGGGTAGGGGCAGGGGTTGAATTCAACCCTTTCTGCTCCTTCCCAAGTGAAGCAAAGACCTCACAGTTCCATCTATCCACTCCTTAATCAGGGGCTCAGGACTCCTTTGTGCCATTTCTGGGCTTGGCACCCTAAGGGGTCCAGACTGCTTGCCCTTCAGACCCCCCACATGAAGCCCTCTCATTGCATGGTGGGGGGAGGCACACAGGGAAGAGGGAATCTTCAAGACACTGGGGAGATAATTTCCTATTTGGGGGTCTCAGGGGCTGCAGTCAGCAGGATGAGGGCAATTTGGTCTTTCTGGGGGTGCAGGATTAAGCTGGAATCTGAGGGCTCCTTGCTGCTCCCCTGCCAGCTCCTCTCCCCACAGACACACACACACAGAGTCAGTCAGTAGGCAAGGCCTCCCTTCCTCTCCTCCCCCTCCCCCGCTGCAGCAGAGGCAGGTGGTTATGAGGATTTAGATGCTGCCTGAGGTGCTGGTGGGTTCTGAAAACCTCTGAGGAAATTGCTGCCCTCTCAGGAGAAGTGAAAGACCATCTGAGAGGATGTCTGTGGGCAGGGCAGACGTCACCGCAGACCCACAGACACACATAGAGATGTACATTCACACACCAGAGCCACGGGGGTCACCTAGCTGAGGGGCCTCCCATCAGAAACCCCACCTGGCTCCTGGGCCCATGTCCCTAGGACACTGCTAGTGTTTAACGAGGCAGATCCCTGTGCCGGGACAGAGGGTCCTCTCCTTCTCCCTGGCTGACTGCCGGGGGTCTGTGACTGGTTTCATCTGGGATCCACACTTTGGCTTCTCTTCTGCATGCAACAGGGAAGATGGTCTCCACCTGCCTAATGACATCCAGGGCTGCAGCAAGGCTCCCCAGAGGCAGTGGGGCGGCCCGGCCTGGGGGTGTTACCTCAGCCTTTGGTGCTTAGAGTCATCCTCATGAAACCCTCTCCTGCTCCCTGTCAAAGCAAGCTGGGGGGGTGAGCCCATGGGAAAGCAAGCCTGCAGAGGAAGGAGTCCCGGCTCCCACATAGATGGCGAGAGTTCCCCTTGGTGGGAGAGTAGAAGGGCCCTTGTGAGCTAAGGCATTCTGGGGGTGCGGGGTACACTGAGGCCCACCTCATCCAAAACTGATGGCCTGTCTTCCATGCCACAGGCAAAGGGGTAGGTGCCAGGCTCCAGGTCTGTCCAACCCTCATCGGTGCAGCTGCGGCTCACGTTGCGGCCTGGGTGGAGAAAAGGGTAAAGAGAGGTTGAGGCCAGGGAGAGGGAGTATCTCTGGAGCAGGTATGGGGCTTGGCTGTCTCTGTGCTCAGCCCAATGCTATGACCCCTGCCCTGTCGGGTTCCAGCCGCCCTGATCTGGATAACCAGGGCATCATGGGGGAAACTGGGGCAGAGAGAAGCCCCTCCAGATAACCCTGAGCTCACCTCTGCCCCTCCTCATGGTCTGAAGCTGGCCCCAGTGGCACCATAAACTCCTATCCTGTGTCTGGATCCTTCACCCAGAATGATCCCTGGCCCTTGCCACGAGCTGAATGCTGACCCTTGTCACATAACTGCAGGAGCTGGTGGGGAGCTGGCTTCTTCCTCCTGCGGGAATAGGCAGCAGCCATCTGACTGCACGTGTGCCGAGTCCTCCTCAGCCAGTCTGTTGGGGTCTGGGGCCTGGGTTTCCTCCCATACTCAGGGCTGGTGCTGCTGGAGCAGGACCAAAAATGAGACAGGAGGTGGATGGGGCTTGGGTAACGCTTGATAAGAGCACCCATCTAAGTCCTGATAAATGGAGAAGGAAGAAGCAGGGAGCTCCTGGCAGGGGAACCTGCCCAGGGGAAGGCCTGTGCAAGCAGTCACTAGGGTCTTGGGGCTGAGGCAAGTTGAAGCCAGGGATCTGCACTCTCCTCTGTTCTCGGAGGTCCCAGGCTACAGCAGAGGGGCCCTGTCAGGTGAGGGATCTCCCCCAGCTGGGAGCTCTAGTTCTGGAGAAGAGCTCTAGCTCTGCTCTACTGGGTGGGGTCCCCAGAGTCTTGCAGATAACCCTGGCCTTCACTTGCACTGAGGTGACCTGGTGCCCAGGTGCAGAGCTGTTGGCAGGGCCCAGCGGTCCTCTACAGGGAGGGTCCCCACGAATGTGCACTGAATATTCCCACAATGTGCGCTCACACCACACCAGGCAGACGCCTACTAACTATTTCTGCAAATCCACTTGGCCACCATGTGAAAGAGGTTCTTATTACCCTACTTTATGGTTAGGAACTGAGGGGCAGCTCAGGGCGGGGGAGAAACTCAGGAAGGAGCAGCTGGGGCTGGATCTCTTTCCACTGTGAGGTGGGCGAGGGCAGGAAGGGCTTCGATGAGGCAGGGGCACTGGGCTGGGCAGATCTCCTGCCCTGGCAGTCTTTTTCTGCAGTCTCCCAACTACTAACCAGTGAGAGGCTCCCAGAGTGGGAGAATAGTCTTCCAGCTGCCCCGACTCAGGCCCTCAGTGCTCCCCTACGGGAGGGCCAGCTTGTAGGCTTCAAATAATTACCCCATCAAACTGCAGCCCATCTCCGCCTCAGATCTAAGGAGTCACACAGGCTCACTAGCTTAATTCATGAAACTCGACGCCAGCTCTGTCTTGCTCCTAGTCCCTCTGGCAAGAGGGGTGCCCAAAGCCAGAGGTGTTAGTGTTCCAGCTTCAAGGCTGGCTGATTTGGCCTTGTCTGCTTTTCCTACTTGCCCCAGCCTGGTGGGGGCAGTCCCTCTAAGCATCGAATCCTGGATGGGAGGTATGGCTTTGGGCTCCCCACTTGCTGTAGGGATGAGGGCTCAGTGAGGCCAGGCCCATGAAGTAAGCTAGTGAACCTGGTTGACTCATCAGCATCTCCACAGGGATCTCAGATATTTCTGTTTAGTGATCAGGAGCTTCCCTCAGTTCCACTAAAAGACAGGGATGCCAAGCTGAGAGAAATGAAGTGACGTGCTGTAGTGGCAAGCCAGTAAGGGCAGGTTCTCCATTAATTCGGGCAGATGGATAAAGGGGAGTCCTGGAGACTTCAGTGGCTTTTCAGGCATTATGTGTGAGGTGGGAAGGGCAAGGGACTTTCATTCCATGTTGGAAGGGACACTCCACACTTCTCCCAGTCTCCTGCTCACCATGTTTCAAAAGGAAGTCACACATTGCCCAACCACTCCTCCCCGGGGCTCTCTGTCTGAAAAACATCACTCTGTGACTGGAGGTTGAAAATGGGACTCATTTCTGTAGAGCCCCCTGATGGGTCTCCTTGCTTTTCTCCCCCATCTGAGCTGCTCCCCATACTGAGCTTGACCCAATCAGGCCACTCCCCTGCTGAAATCCTGTCAATGACACTTGACCCCAGCCGGCCAAGGCAGTCTTAGGTTGTCATCAGGACTTCCCTATGGGGCCTCCCCTGGTGGTGCAGGCAGTTGAGCACTGCGCTGTGAAGCTGTCCACAGCCTCTGCAACGCCAGTTCGATCCTGGCCGGCCGGCGAGGGTCCCACATGGCACGGCAGACCTCTCCTGTCGCGCCCGCTGCTCCCCTCAGCAGTGTATTTGGTTGTCTGCCTGTTCTGTTCCCCGCTCTGTCTCTGGTGAATCCTCTCACCCTCCTGCGCATCTGGCCTGTACCCCAGTTCTTGTATAAATAAATAAATAAATCTTTAAAAAAAAAAGACTTCACTATGAACCTCATGATGCATAGGAAGTGGGATGAGTGAAGGAGGTGACCCAGGGACCCCAGAAATATGGTTAACATAGACTGTATGTTGAGTTTCCTCAACCAAAATAGCTATCCTCTGGTTCATCCTAAAAAAAAGTCTCTTCATATATTTGAAGGTAAAAACACCCCAGATGAAAGACATGAAGATCCTGCCCCCAGGTTTCTTATTCAGTCTGGGTAGATGACGTCTTTCTAACTCTCCACAATCTTTAAACTTCCATAATTTTCCCCCCACTTTCCCTGTAGAACTAGGGTCCCTCTGACTCTCTCAGCGAGGACACTCCTTCCCTAGTCCTTTTACCCGAGGAGCAGGGGCTGCTATCATCCCCGCTCTGCACACCCTTACTTGCAAACTTCCAGGTCAGTTGCTCTCTCGTTCTTCATCTACTGGCCGAGGAAAGCACACCCTCTTTCCTTTTCGTTTTCAGCCCCTCACCCATTTCTAGCCGCTAATCCTATTTCTCAGAGGAAATAGGGCTGCTGAGTACCAGCCGGGCAGGTTTGCAGGTTGTCAACTGCCCAAAGGTACAGCCGATGGACAGTGGGGGCTAAACTCTACTTCAAATCCAGCTTGTCAGTAGGACGGTGCTGGTCAGAAGTTGCCTGCGCCTGAGGAAGAGTTGCCTTTTTCTTATATGCTCAAGGGCGCTGTATAGACCCCCTTGAGACTGGCAACTCAGGGTTAGCCAGAATGTAGGCTGGAGTCCAGGTTCTCAAGTGCAGGAGCTGCCTTGACAATTCCAGCAGAGACAGAAGGAAGAGCCATCAGGAGGAATGCAATTAGCAGCATGTCAGGGAGGAGCGCAATTAGCAGGCGCTTCCAGGGATCCGACAGGAGGCTGGTTGCCAGGCTCTGCTGATAGGACGCATGGTGAGAGCTGCCAGAGGAGCTCGCTGCCCGTGTGCCCAGGTACCAGGTTCCCCGGAGGGGGGCAGGACTAGGTGGGTGCTGGCCTGGAATGCGGCAAGCCTGTGACTGCTCCCTGACTCCTCAGGGAGGGCGCCCACATTTCTTTGTCATTGCTGAGGTCAGGACACTGAGCCCCGGGGCGGGGGTAAAACTGGCCTGCCCCAAAGAAACCATCTTGTCCTCTGCCTTCTGGGTCCATCTTACAAACAGGGAAACTGAGATCCAGAGAGCGTCACCTGGATTGAGCAATGCCCAAGATTCTTTTGGCTCACCCTCTGAATCCTTATCTAAGTCCTGCTTTCCACCCTTGCCAGCTTCGCCCTTAGTCTTCCCCACTCGGCTTGCTCCTCCCTCAGGCCTCCCCATCCCGTTCCAGCCTTCTCCTCCCCCCAGCTCATCAAACCTCGACATGAGGGGCATGTTCGATTCCTCCTTCCCCCACCTCTACCCACCCGACTTCAGGCAAGTCTCTTTCTTCTCTGCTCCACTGGAATTCAAATCATCATCAGCTTTTACCTCCCTGATTGGATCTGCACTTGCAGAACACTTTCTTCTCACAGAAACCAGTTACCCATTAAAAACCAAAAATGGACTGTGTCAGCTTGGAGACCTCAGTGGCTTCTTAATGACTTAGGAAAAAGCCTGAGTCCTGGGTCACCCTTAAGGACCCGCCAGGCCTAGCTAGCCTCCACCCGCCCTTCTTTCCAGCCCTTGGTCCCTTGCGCTATCTCTGCTCCAGCCACACAGGTCCACATGGAGTTTCCTGAGGTTTTCCTGCTACTAGCTGTTGATTCTCTCCTTCAGGGGCCTCTAGTCTACCTAGGGTCCAGTGTGGTGACTCCTTCCCGCCCAGGACTTCAGAGGGCAGCTGAAGTATCACCCTCAACAAGGCCTGGACCTCTGGTTGCAGCACACCCATTTTTCTCCCTCTCAGCCCTTCATATCATTTAAGATACCAGTGTTTGTTTCCTTGCTAAAAATCTCTCCAACGAGGGCCTCCCGGGTGGCGCAGCGGTTGAGCACTGGGTTGCGAAGCTGCCCGCAGCCTCTGCAGCGCCAGTTCGATCCCCGGCTGCTCCCCGGCCACCAGGCGAGGGTCCCACATGGCGCGCGGACCTCTCCTGCCGCCCGCTGCTCCCCTCAGCAGTGTACTTCGGTCCTTCTGCCTGCTCTGCTCCCCGCTCTGGCTCTGGTGAATTCTCTCACCCTCCCGCGCTTCTGACTGTACCCAGTGCTTGTATAAATAAATACATAAATCTTTAAAAAAAACAAAAAAATTCTCTCCAACGAGAACATTAGCTCCTGGGGGCATAGTGTAGTTATTTTACACACACACCAACACATACACGTTTGTCTAGCCCATGCCTGTCGTACTTGTGGGTATTTAATAAACATTTGCTAAGTGCAAGAATGACTGAATAGATGTGGTCAGCCTCTTTAATTACACAGCAGTAAGAGAGCCCACTTCTGAGAGAGGCCTCTTTTCTTTCCTGCCGTACCTGTGAACTTTCACTCAAGCAGAGCCCAGCGAGGTGTGTGAGCAAGGCGGTGGTTTCGCAGAGCCCAAGAGGTCATTGGATGCAGGTAGTGAAAGACGGAATTGTGACCAGCCCAAAACAACGGAACATGGGAGCCATAACTTAATCAAGCACCGCCAGTCAATGAGTTATCCATTGCTGAGCAAATACTTAGTGAGCCCTTCCCACAGGCTTATCTTTATGTGAAGAGTGAATCAAATCCTGAGTCCTTTAAAGACCCTGCACCAGTGCATACTCTTCCAGGACGTGCCCCCTGCCCATTGCTACTGTCCCTTTGACCCCTTTGCTTTGCCCTCTTACTCCTTACTTCCTAATAAGACCCCACTCTAGTCATCCAGCCAGTCTACTTGTGCCACCAGCTCCTCCCTAACCCAGGCTCTTACCTTCAATGGAAGAGAAGATTTTAAAAATGGGGGGACAGGCCAAGACGACCACCTGGCCCAGAGGGGTGGCCGGCCAGCAGGTGAGGTTGTCCCACATCTTGCTGCAGCCTGCGGGTGAAGGCAGAGGGCACTTGAGTCAATGTGGGCACCACGTGTCTCCAGCCTTGGGGCCTGTGCCCACAGGCACCCACTCTCTCCCTCCTCCTCTAGGCTCCCACCTGGAGGAAACTACAGGCTGAGAGGGGAGGTGCCAACCTGCCAGGCCTGACCTGCCAGAAGCAGGGAAGGAGGCAGGGCTACAGCGCCATAGTCCTTAGTGAGGAATGGAGTGCTGCCTGAGTGTGTTTAGAACTGTGGTGGGGCGTGAGGGTGGGGGTTGGTTTATTGCAGAGATTGGGGGGCCTCCCCCAGCATTTGATGGGCAGGTGCCAGCAGGTATCTGCATAATCCTACACCATGACGAATTGCTCAGCATTGGCAAAGAATTCCGACGAGCTGCTGGGCACTCGTGTGGGTGGAAACCTTTTGTAATAACCAGAACCTGGGTTCCTACTCCAGTTTACATGCTAAGCCAAGGTTCTAGATGTACGGGTTTAACTTAACAGAGTTTTCTAGGAAGGCAACTACTGAGTCAGAGAGCTCAGACTTGCTTCCTTGTGTTTTGGACTTTACTAAGTGATGTTCAATGTTTTGCAAAATCATGTCACCTGCAGTAATGCTGGTGCCTGAGTCAGTGTCCACCCCGCATGTCAATCTACATTTAGACTCCCACGTGCCCAGAATTTCTATGTGTAAGTTCAAGCTTCAGATGTTGTCTTCTTTTTCAGTGTAATTGTGGCTGAATAGGTATAAGATATTTTACTATAAGTAACTCTCCTTTTGACTTTCCTATCACATGACAGCCGGAACATCATTAAAAAAATGAATGTGAAAAAAAAGTGAATGAGTGTGTCCTGAATTTCATTTTATCACAGTGAAGGAGGTATCAGAAAATATTGGGTACGATGGGGTGATGGTATATGGGGCTTCATCTAATTCTTTTTCTTTTTAAAGATTTATTTATTTATGCATACAAGAACTGTGGTACAGGCCAGAGGTGTGGGGGGTGAGAGGATTCACCAGAGACAGAGTGGGGAACAGAACAGGCAGACTGACTGAAATACACTGCTGAGGGGAGCAGCGGGCGAGACAGGAGAGGTCTGCTGCACCATGTAAGTAGCTCCCTGGCTGGGGATTGAACTCTTGCTGCAGTGGCTGCGGGTGGCTTCATAGGTTGTGTCTTAACCTCTTGTGCCACCAGGGAGGCCCCCATTTAATTCTTGAGTCTTCACAAAACTCGCAAAGCAACACTGATGTCCCCAACTCAGTAGAACTACAAGTTGAGATGGGTGATGCTGAGAGCAGAGAAACCCTGCGTCACTGGCCGTGTCTGCCACATGTACTGATTAACCTGGCAGGAGCTGGCTGGAGAAGGGTGTGCCGAGGGGCTTCTAGGGATCTGATTTAATAAGCAGAAGCAAATACCATGGTTTTGCCTGTTCAGAGGCCGGGTGCCCCTGGGGAAGGTTTAATTGTCTCTGCAATCCTGCCAGTCCCATAGATTTATGCAGGAAACCCAACCCCTGAGCCAAAGTCAACGCTAAGCTCGGCCAAGCCCGGCCCAGCCCAGGTTCGAAGGTTCATGAGTTCTCAAGAAAGGGGCCTGGGAAGGAGAGGTGGAGGGACTTTCTCACAAGGGAAGAGTCTGGGCACTGAGTACTGCAGTGGGCTGGTAGTGTGTGTGTCGGGGTAGGGGTTACCATCTGGGGTTGTCACAGCCAGGTGGCACCTGGTCCTGAAGACCAAGGACACCTGGATCCCTGGGGCCTGGCCAGACAGCACAGCCTCCCTTCCTTCTGGACCCCAACCTTTCCTGCCCCACCCTGGCCTGAGGCTCCTGTGACCTTACTGTGGCTGCCAGACTCGCCTCTATTACTGTGCCAGCCTTTCTAGGGGCCATGCAGGGGCCCTTCAGGCCAGTTCAGTCCCGCATGAGGTCCAGGACCCTGTTGCTATCAGCTCTCTCTTATGTAGCCTTTGTATGTGGCAGGCACTGTTCTGCCTCCTTAAATGAATAGCCTAACCCTCCATTTTACAGGTGAGTAACTGAGGCATAGAGCAATTAGGTAACCAGCCCCCAGTTGCATCCCCTTCTCCAGCAAACTACACTCTCCTCGTCTGTAGGTCTCCATGCTGCTTCTTTGGGAATTCTGTTCTGTTGGACTTTGTTTCATTCTCTCTGACAGTGCTGGGCACACCCTACTCTGTAGACCGCCTATTGTGTGTGGGTCCCCGCCAGGCTTTGAGCGTTTTGCATCTCCACCTCCGGGGCAGGTTGGGGAGTAGATTAGGAGCTGGGTGTTTGGCTCTGAGCACAGTTTCACTAGAGGCAGCACAGAGGAGGAGGAGGCTGGGCCCTGCCAAGGGGAGGTCACTCTTGGCCTCATGGGGAATCTCAGTACCACCGAGGCCGGGCTGTGAGTGGTGCTAGGGTGCCGGTCAGTGGGCAGGGAGGGAGAGCCGGGGAGGAGTGAGGAAGCAAGAGGCAGCAAAAGGATCAGGAGGCTGAGAAGGGGATGATAGCCAAGAAAATGCTGGACACCTGGAGGGCCTATTGTCCTGAGCTGGGCCCTGGAGGGAGTATTCTCTATGTGTACACGCTAGAGAGGCCTCATAGGTACCTCCTAAGTGTCACTAGGCCCTCAGAGGGTCTAGGCTGACTGTGCCCACTGGGGGTAGGGGCTACCTCTTCAACAGGAAAGTCCAAATGGGAAAGTGGGGGTGGCAAGGCAGAGTAGGGTAGGGGCCTCTGCTGTGTGTGTCATTTTAAAGATTTGTGTATAGAGAGATATGGGCACGTGCAAAGATACTCACATGTGTGCTTGCTTGGACGTGAAAAAGACCCCCCCCCCCCCAGGCAAACACAGACAGGGAGAGACACACATACCTCACAGAGAGGCACACACACAGAGGCACACAGGCACACCGGGAAGACGTGTGTAAGCATGTCCAGGCTTAAACAGACACACACCCCCAACATAGAAAGACGCTCAGAGTCAGACACAGTTACAGATCCCAGAGGTGCAGGCACAGTCGCAGAGAGACATGGGCCAAAAGCACACAAGGGACATGCATGGACACGCACTGAGCCCCACACATGGGCCGACCCGCGGCCCACAGAGGACCTGCCTTCCTCTGGATCCCAGGCTGGCTGCATGGTGACAGAAACCTGGCATCTGACATGCACCCTGTGCCAGCAATGATCTCATCAGGATCACGAGGGTGGCCTGCCCTTGGGGCCTGGGAGGTGTTGCATTGGGGCCTAGAATATGGAGTTTGGGCCGCCCATGATCTGCCATTGGGGACTGCCTTCTAGGCATGTCTGCAACCTGGTCCTGGTGGGGTCTGGCCACCCCTGCACCCAGGCCTCAGTCTTAGGGGCCCCAGGAGACAGGAGACTTCTCTTCCTTGAGAGCTGGGGGCGGCAAAGCCCATTTATGGGGCAATACACACTCACCTATGGTACCCTAAGGCATGGGTACCAGGGACAACAGGGAGGGTCTGGGGCAGGGGATTACATAACTGTCCACCCCAGAGAGGTGGGGGAGCTGGGGATGATGTCCCCTGCTCCTGAGTGAGGCTGCCACAAAACTGTAAGCTCAGCTGAGGGAGGGAGACTAGAAGGGAGACCCAGAGCAGGCCCAGGCACCACAGTGCCTCCAGCCCACCCCTCCCTCTCAGTGAGCCTCAGGCCCCTTACTGATCCCCCTGTTCCCCTAGGGCGGTCTGCCTTGGTGCCTCCCACCTTCCTGCCTCTTTGCTTCTCCAAATCCTGACCCTCCTTCCAAGTCTGGCTCAAGGTGAGCCTTTTGAAGATAGTCCTCTGCAATTCCTCCCATTCTGGCCAGGAGGGTGGGGTGGGGGCGGGGGATGAAGAGTAGAGGATGCTGTCATCTGATCTGATGGCCCCCGCATGGCACCATCCTCCACAAAGTGAGGCTGAGCTGCCCTAGGCCCCCTGAGGAGGAGTAGCTGGGCCCCCAAGAGCTCAGCTTCTGAATGTGACCTTGACTTGATGGTCTGGATTAGAGCCAGTGATTCATCTGGTTTGCAGAGGGAGGGTTGGGGTGGGGAGGTGTCACCCTTTAATGTCTAGCTGACTGGGAAAGCCTGGGGTTGAGAGGAGGAACTGGGCCTCAGTTTCTCCCCTGTGGTGAGTATTTCAGATCTGTGCAGACTTGCCTGCTTTACCCTTCTCCCTCCCGACTGCTAAGATGGGTGCTCTCTTTATACAACAAATGTGGAATAAATATGCTTCTGTGAGAAAAAATGGGTCTCCTTGGGGGTCTGCAGTGTTTCTCTTCCTGCTGGGAATCTCACCTGCTGTCTCGTTCTCCAGCTGGGCCTCCTCCAGGCACTGCTTGCGCTGCACCTCAATCATCTTCAGATGGTGACACTCCTCCCGCTGCAGCCCAACTGCCTGGCCGCCCTAGGGGACAGAAACAGGGATGGGGCCCCATCAGCCCGTGCAGGGCCCACCTCTTGTTCATGCTCATAGACTCCACGAGCAGTTACCGGGCTGACCCAGATTCGAGAATGAACCCCAACCCCAATCCCAACCCCAGACTGAGTCCCGATCCCAGTGCTGCATTGAAGGCTGACCCCTACTTGGATCTGAACCCAAACACTTATCCATTGTCCCCAAGGCTCAGTCCACCTTGAGGACCAGATGATGGCTCCCTCACAGTGTTGAGGCTGTAACAACTTTGTCTCTTTGTGCATGGCACAAATCTACATAAAGGTATGGGGGCTCCTCATTAGAGCCCACAGCTGGCTAACTGGACTCTGGCTCTCCAACTTGGGTAGGTAGTCTTTTATCCTGGCCTCAGTCTCCACGGATGAGCAGGGCCCAGCTAGTGCTACCTCATCATGGGGTCTGGGGGCCAACTGGGAGGAATTCAGGAGTCTGGGTACACCTTTCAGACTCTGTTCCCAATCTAGGAGCCTATGTTCAGCCCCTGGGTCACATGCCTGGCCCTTCTGGCCCAGGTCTTACCTGTGTCCTTCTTAGTTCTAAATAATTCAACCTATGTCAGATCTAATGAAGGAAGAGGAGGTTTAAGAAGATGAGAGAAGCCTCTCTTGGATGGTTTACCATCCTATCAGGTCTCCCCTGCCCTTGGAAGGTAGGGAGAAGGGGTAAAAAGGTTTGAGCTTCTCCCTTCCCATGCATTGTGCCCTGACCAGGGAGCAAGCAAGCCAGATCTGTGCACCAAGGGGACATTGGCACTGAAGCAGACATGTGAACAGAGGTGATGGCTGCCAAGGAGCAGCCAGCAAAAGTCACGTCTTAGGAGCTTTTAGGGGGGAGGGCAGGTGAAGGCCTCCAGGGAGCAACCCAGGGTTGATGGCACCTTCTACCTGTCTGGCTTTAGGGAAGTGGCTGCCACCCCACACTGGTTTCCTTGTCTCTGCCTAGGGAAGAGAATGGCACAGCCCTCAATAGGGCTGTGGGTATGTGTCCAGAAAACTGCTCCAGAATGAGAGATTCTCGATGTCTCTTCCAACTTGTCCCTCCCATCCTGGGATAAGGACCTCATCTCCCTGGACTTCAATTTCCTTGATGGATAATGAGCCTCAATCACCTCCCTTACTGTCTCAAAGACTTGCGGTCAGGCTACAAGGAGAGTATAAGTAGTGGGTGTCCCCTCATTTCCTTCTGTAATATCTATGGATACCAAGGGTGTCTTTGACCATTGTTCTGAATTGACCCAATTGGGGCATGAGTCCCAGGTGCTAGTGAGCTCTCCATTGCTGTAGGGGAAGAGGGTGTCCAAGCTGAAGCTGGCCAATTGGTGCCCAAGACGCCATACAGCTGAGGCCCTTCCACCTTGACAGCTCCTCACCCCTTGTTGAGGATTTTGGACCAGACTCGTTGTCACAGAGGTCCTCAGAGTCCAACTTCCCCATTTGTAGCTAAGCACCGGCTGCCTAGCCCAGGTCCAAGGGAAGGCCTCCTCCCTGCCACAATGTCTTTCAGACAAGATTCCCAACATCCAGACCTCATCTGCTTATGTGCCACATGCTTGAAAGTCACCAAGTTAACATGAATTCCATCCATCTTGGACTGTTAACTTTCCCAGCCAATTGGGATAAAGACACAAACTGGCAAGTCATTGAAAACTTGGCATATAAAGTAACATGGATAGATTATGACTGTTTAAAAGAAAAGATGTGAGACTCAAAGGAAATGTGCTGTGGTCCCTCCTTGGGGTCACACGCTTTTCCTTTTGCCCATAAGTGTTACTTAGACAAAAATGGGGTTCCAGGTGGTCTCTGGAAGGGGCCTGGAAACGGCCACTTTGGCTTGTGTCCCCAAGCAAGATTGGTCTACCTGGTGTGTTTGCAGAGTTCTTCTCTGCAAGGCACTTTCCCATGCCCATTCTCCTGCAGCAACAGGATTCCTTCTGCCTCTGGACCCTTCCCAAGCCTCCCATTCTCCCACCACTCCCAGCATGATAGCAAGATTAATGGTTGCAGATACCTGTTGTTGCTGCCTCCTCCCACCCTTCACCCTCTTCTGGTGCCATGTCCTCATCTCTGTGTGGGAAACCAACTCCTTCCTCAATTCAAGTTCATGGGGTTCTAATGAACCCTCTTGAAGGGGTCAACAGGTGATCACACGTGAGCCAGTTAGAGCATTCAGGCCACAGTACCTGGCATGTGGCCCAAGTCAGTTGGCTTGGAACCAGGAGGCTCATTTCTGTGACAAATCCACCAGGCAGGTGGATTTGTTCTTTCCCACTGGACCAGCAAACTCAGAGGATACAGGGCTAGAGCTACTCCTGCCATCTTGCCTCCAAGTGAAACACAATGATGAAAGTCACACAGCTCTAGGCAGAATAGAGAAATACAGGAAAACTGGGTCTTCTCAGCATTGTCTGAGCCTCTGACTGCAGCCACGCCTGAAACCAGCTCTGCTCCTAGCGATGTGCTCGAGCTTCCTTTATGGCTTGAGCCACTTGAGTTTTCTGTCCCTGTCATCAAGAGTCCAGACTTGCACTCTAAGGACTGGATAATGGGCGATCCTACTTACTGGGCCCTCTTCAGCCAGGGCTATGCTGTCAGCCAAGAGATATTTCTTTTCCGATCATGGAGGGCATCATAGGGTGCCCGGCAGCTCCTGCTTGCCACTCTCTGAGTGAGTGAGGGTGTTGAACCAACCTCTTTAGCCAGCTCTGTTCTCACAGCAGCACAGCCATGGAATCTTTCCTCAGAGGCAGTTTGCAGAGGAGGGGCAGGGGTCCCCGGGGTAACCTGGGAGCCTGGGGTGTCTCTGAATGAAGATGAGCTCTCCTTTCCATATGATCCAGCAATTCCACTCCTAGGTATTTACCCAAAGGACACAGAAACATCAATTCCAAAGAGCACCTGCACCCCTATGTTTATAGCAGCACTGTTTACAATAGCTAAGCTTTGGAAACAGCCCAAATGCCCAAAAATAGATGACTGGATCAAGAAGATGTGGTACATATACACCATGGAATATTACTCAGCATTCAAAAGAGATAAACACATGCAATTTGCAGCAACATGGATGGCGCTGTAAGGGATCATGCTCAGCGAAATAAGCCAGAAAGAAAAAGAAAAATACCGGATGGTCTCACTCATAGCAGGAATCTAGAAAACTTAAATAAGGGACCAGGAAAATGAATAACTATAAGAAAGTGAAAATCAAAATCAACAAAAATCTATGAACCAGAGACACTTTTGGGGGGGTGCGTGGCGGGAGGGAGGGATTGGGGTCAAAATGGGGGGGGTTGCAATTGTATGGGGAATATAAAAATAAAATTTATTATTAAAAAAAAAAAAAAAGATGAGCTCTCTTTTCACCACAATTTCATTGAGTGCTAGACCCTATCTGGAAGAGGGTAGAGGAAACAGAGAGCCAAGAGGGACCTGGGGTCACCCAGAAAATGCACATTTCCAGATGGGACCTAAACCTCTGTCCACTGGTCTGGACTGCATCAGCCTCTCTCCATGGCCTCGCCTTGGGCCATCTGGTCAACCATTGCCCTTTGGGAGCCACGGCCAGGGCAGCTCCCTCTAACCCTTATCACTGAGGAATTCAGGCAGACTTTGGACTTCCTCTTCCACTTATTTCCGTATTCTAAACATCCTCATTATCCCTCTGGACTCCAAACGCACAAAGTTGGAAAATTCCCAGCTGGACACAGCAAAGCCTACTGATCTCAAGGAAAGGTTCCCAGGTAGAATATGGGGTGTGGGCTTCACAGAGAATGGGTACTAGAGGTGCACCATCAGAGATAGAGCAGAATATTCCAGAAAGTAGGAATAATGTTTATGCAGAAGTATGGAGCATGAAAATGCCCAATACATTTAAGGTTGCAAAAGTCTGGTGGATGGTAAGGGACCTGGAAGTTGGGAAATGTGAGCAGGAGCCAGGCCTCATCAGTTCCCCCTCCTGGGTAGGTGCAGTGGCCCCTGCAACCGAGGGAATCTTTGTACAAAGTGTATCCCCATCCTCATTCTCCTGCTTCAAATCCCTGATGTTCCTCATGGCTTTGGGGTCAAAGCCCACTCTTCAAAATTGGCATTCAAGGTCCTTCCCAATTCTACCAACTTGTCTCCTGACTCACTCTGGAGAAGAGAAAACAGGAGTTTCTCCCAAACCCTCACAAAGTCCTGTGCCATGCTTACCTCCAAGAAAGCTTGAAGTCAGCCTGACCTTGCCACTGGGTTGAGGCAAGAGTTTCAGGACAAACTAGACCACCAATACCTTTCCTGTACAGAGTTCCTGAACCCAGAAGGGACCCGGACAAGGGTGAGGAAGGCCATAGTATGTCTTCACCCCTGGCTCTCTTGTACCCTGCCATGGTATTGCCTGGCTGTGGGAGGTGACTGCCAGGGACTTGACAGTGGAATCCTCCGTCTCTGGTAGGGGGCAGGGATTAACCAGGTCTTGTTAATTCCACCTGCTCAGATAGGTCTCCTCCTCTCTATCCCCTGCTGTGAGGGGCTTGGAAGAAAACCCTACTTTCCACATGGGGCTCTATGAGGTCTGGGGCAAAGGCTGGGTTTGTGTGTGGTTGAGAGTGAAGATGCTGGAGCATTGTTAGATGTTAGGTGCTCTGAAGTGGGGGGCGCTCAGGTGTTTGTAGAGGTACTCAGGTGTTGAGAGGGTCACTCAATTCCCTCAAGGGAAGCCTGAGACCACAGCTACTGGCCTGAAATCAGAACCCCCAATCTCAACCAGAGCCTGTGAACTCAGGCAGGAGTAGCTGAGGGAGACAAAACAGAGAGGGGGGAAGTGTGAGTACCTCCTAGGGGAAGCTGGTCTCTGAGAGGGGTCTAGAATGCAACAGGCTGCATAGGTGAGGCAGGAGAAAGAAATCCCTGCTTGTAAATTTACAAGCATTGGGAGCAAGGGTGGATGATTTACACTTCTGGGGTCTGTCAAAGGAGGGT